CCTGGTTCGGGGCTGGGGATGGGATGCGAGGAATGTGCTTCTTGCGAAGGTCGTAGGGTATGGCGGCAGGAGCGCGATTCGCAGACATCTCGATATCGGTTTGAATATAGGCTATAATTTCCTAATTAGAAAGTCAGAAAAACCTCAGATATGACAAATTCAGTAAAAATCGATGGGATTTGGTGAGAAAAATCAGTATTTTGGTGGTTTGGAGGGCTTCCGATACAAAAGTTGCAATTTTTTGAGGTTTTGGGGTGCCAAAACTGCACCAAATTTTGCATACGCTAAATGTAGTTGGGGAATATAATCATGTGACCTAGATGTCATGACTTCCTCGCGGGTATGCTGCGGAGAACTATCCGTCTTACACACAACGCAGTCGCCTTCTTGCAGTCGGTCATTCAGTTTCCCTCCACCAGCAACAGTGTCCTGAACCAGCAGATTGGCTTTCTCTAGGAAGTAAGCAGCTCTAAAACAACGGCTCAGCAGATTCGAGACACTTCCAGGCTCTGACATCGTGCTCTGCGTTGCCTGACCGTTCTCGCCAATTCGCCTACCTCGGCGAGGCGTTCTACCACCACAATGCAGCGAATTCAATTGGCGTGCTCCAACTCTATGAACGGCCCTCAGTCATGCGTTCTGTGACAGGTGTACAAGTCAAGACATGTCTGCATTAGCTGCAAGAGTCGTTCTGTTGTGGGGGACGGAACAGCGATGACTCTTCCACTCCACACCGCCGTTCAGATATGTTCTTCACCACTTGATATAGCGCCTATTCCGGGCCCAGCTGGCTCTCGATTGGAGAACAAAAATCTCTCAGTATATTTCACGAATCTTCTACGAGGTCAGATTTATTGTGCCCGGATGGATGTCTCTCGGTGTTGCTGCCGGTGTCGGTCTGTTGCGGGGTCTGGATATTCTCCGCATTCTTGGGATTTGTGGGATATCTTCCTCCGGTTCACGAAAGAGGAGTTAATTTCTGTTGTTGATGATTCGTGAGGAGTTTTCTTGCCAGTCTAGAACGGGCTGGAAATCTCCGAAAACAGCAATGGAGTGAAAGAAAGAAAGGTGCCTCCACGTTATTCATGACTGTGCCTTTTTTCAAACTACGTCAGTTTCGCTCCAATAAGTGCTGCCCTACCCATTCTAAACAGCTGCATCCTGACCTGGCGATCTTTACGGAGTATATTGACCGACGTTGCATTCGGTATTTGATAAGCGCGGACGTTTATCGACCGACCAATGGAGCGGTTAGATTGCGAATAACCCTAACCATCGTCTATCTCCCCGCTGGAAAACAAAAGAGTTGCCAAGGTGAGTTAATGGCCTACGTCATCTGTGTGCGCCAGATACTTGGAGCTCTGCTGCTAATTTTTAGTCCGGTCTAGGGCCAACTAAGGACACTAGCATTCGTTCTCATTCGTCAATTGATCAATTGATCGACTCACCTCCATTGTAGTGAGGAGCGATGGAGAAAACACACTGTAGATCTCCACCTACGGAGTATTTGCGGGGAACGGCAGGAAAAAAAGCTCGCTTCGAGCAGGCTTCAAGCACGCGATCTCTACGAACCTCCACGCAGAAGATGCTAGTCCGAATTGATCGCCAGTTCCACCGCTCACGCTGGTCCAATGGCGTCTCTGCTCAAAGGAACGACTTGGAGAAATCGTGATAGCGTTTGGATTTCCCCGCACATCTGGCCGGATATTGCCGGTGGTTGCTAGCATATATTCCAGAGTGACCTGCGAAATATGGCCGATTCAGAGACTTCTCGTAGGATCTTTCAACCGGATCCAGTGCTACATGCTGGGCAACATGCTGGGAACCACCAGCGTCTTCGCATGTCTGCTGGCTCTGGGCGCCGCTCAGAGTTACCTCCCTCAGCTCCCTCAACCAGTCTACTTCCCCCTGCGCCCTCCAGCGCTGCCATTGGCGGTGCGCGGGCCGTATACCAGCGCCTGGACGTCGACAGCCGGCAACGGGACATTGAACACCGCGGGAGCGTCTTTCTGGACGGGCGATTCTCTGGGCTGGGAGGGTATCGTGACCGTCGATGGAATCTCCTACGAATACCTTGGAACCGGCTCCCAGAGTCTCCCTGAGCTGCCTAACTTCAAGAGCGCAACGCCTCTTAGCGTGCGCTACGATTCGCAGTATTCAAACTTCACCTTTTCAGCTGGGCCGGTGGAAGTCACCGCCAGCTTTTTCTCGCCTGTTATCCCCAAAGATCTCTGCCGGACCAGCATCCCACTCAGCTACCTGATCACGTCGGTGAAGTCGACCGACGGCGCCGCCCACGACGTGAAATTGTACAGCGATGTCAACGCCGCCTGGATCACGTACGAGTACAACAAGACGGTGACGTGGAGTCTTCACGAGAGTGGGATCAGCAAGCCGGTGAACGGCTCCAATGCGACCATCACCGCTCCGTCCATCTTCAGCTGGTTGCTGCAGCTGAAGGACTCGTATACCTTCGCCGAGAACAACCAGTTCCCTGAATGGGGCAATTTCACATACTCCTCCAGCGAGGGCAGTGCGCGCAACTTCAGCTTCGAGAGCGGCTTCTCCGGCAACTTGCGGTACAAGTTCATCAACAGGCACGGCCTGTCCAACATCGTCGATAGCGACTACAGAGGCGCCGGTGAGCGCGAGCCTGCCTTTGCGTTTGCGCACGATCTGGGCTCGGTGCGGACGGGCTCTGTCGTCTACACGATTGGGACCATCCAGCAGCCCGCCATGCGATATCTCACGTCGTCTGGTCTGACAGCGCTGCAACCGTGGTGGACGAAGTGCTACGGGGACATCTATCAGTTGATCCAGTTCCACTACAAAGATCTCAAGACGAGCCAGGCCCTGGGCGCCGCTTTCGAAGCGCAGCTGAAGGCCGATATCAACCAGCTCTACGGAGTCAGTGGCAATGGCTCCTTGTCGAGCAAGGCAGGTTATATCGGAACTCTGTCAGCGCCATGGATGTATACCAACACCAGTCGCGGTACAGACCAGTTTGGCAATCAATACGTCTTTGACAGCCGCAACGCTTACGGCTTCCTCGATCCGCACACGTATGAAGGCATCGCCATTCCGGACGTCAGCGAAGCGGCCTCGTACTACTCCATTGTGGCGCTCTCTGCACGGCAAATCATGGGCGCGTATGTGCTGACAGTCTCGCCGCACAGTTCGGACCCTCTCATGTTCCAGAAGGAGATCTCTTCCGACGGCAACGTCAACACGGTCGATGTCATGTACCCGGCGATGCCGTTCTTCCTATACGCCAACCCTGCCCTGTTGAAATACAACCTGGACCCGCTGTTCCAGAACCAAGAGGGCGGCTTCTACCCGAATGGATACAGCATGCATGACCTGGGCACCAACTTCCCCAACGCGACGGGGCACGTCGAGGGCAACGACGAGTACATGCCGGTGGAGGAGAGCGGCAACATGATCCTGATGACGCTGGCTTATTCGCAGTTTGCCGGTGACAAGGGCTATCTGAGTCAGCACTATAACCAGATGCATCAGTGGGCGAAATACCTGCTGGAGTTTAGCCTTATTCCGGAGACGCAGTTGAGCACAGGTAAGCAGTCGCACCGAGATCAGATTTTGACAGGCATCTAACGATATTTAGATGACTTTGCCGGCCAGCTCGTCAACCAGACCAACTTGGCCGTCAAGGGGATCGTCGCCATCGGCGCCATGGCTGAGATTGCGAAAACCGTGGGCGCGTCGTCTGACGCAGCCAACTTCTCCGCCACGGCTACCAAGTACATCAACAAGTGGGAGAAATTCGCGGTAGACCCGTCGGAGAAGCACACGCTGCTGGCGTACGAATGGCGGTCGTCGTGGGGGCTGCTGTACAACATCTACCCGGACAAGCTGCTAGGCCTGGGCGTCGTGCCGGCGCATATCTACGAGATGCAATCGAACTGGTACCCGCAGGTATCGCAGATCTTCGGCGTCCCACTCGACAGCCGCCACTTCTACACCAAGAGCGACTGGGAGATGTGGACGGCGGCGACATGCGAGCCCGCAACGCGCCGGCTGTTCGTCGACGCCATCGCGTACTGGCTGAACGAGACGACTACCTCTCTGGCATTTACGGATCTGTACGACACGGTGGGCACGGGCGATTATCCGAATGATGACAGTGGCAATCCGATCCAGTTTATTGCGCGGCCGGTGCAGGGAGGGCAGTTTGCGTTGTTGGCGCTGGCGAAGAAGCCGAATTCGACATAGTCTAGGTAATGTACACAATCGTCAGTGATAACAATCGTCAGTGATATATAGTCTTGATTTAGCTAGTGCTTAGATAATGGATATATTAATATAGGATAATGAATATGGTGAATGCTTTGCCTCAGATGTTACCTGGCTGGGTCCAATTAATGAACAGCGTCTACGATCTTGCCAAGTGATACGGAATTCCTGTCTTCATAACCTGACGATAGCATAGTACATACAATGAATATAAGATCCCAAAGTGAGATGAAAAACTCGACAGATTCTATCTGATATATTTGTTTTCTGTAAAGGTATATATCTGCATCGATCAATTCCAATCCGAGTATATTATTACCCTGCTCATATCCCGTCAACACCAAGAAAGATCGGCCTGGGTACTGTCGTCGCTAAATTAAACATTCCTTTGTTCCCCCATACCAGCTGGATTGATTACGTCCTGTAGTCTTCTGGTTCAGCTGACGAAATTGGCCATCACTGCAAGTTGTTGGGCGAAAGAAAGACGATAGAAAGTAATGAAAGGAAAGGGAATGAATGCAATATATTCTCGATTCGATAGGCACGAGTTGGAAACAATGGCTATGAAGTATTCCTTTTTTTTTCTCCTTCTTCTCCTTCTCCTTCTTCTTCTTCTTTTTGTTGGCACTAAAAGAAGATGAGAGAACCATAAAGAGCTGGATGGTCGTCACACTTCAGTCTCTACCCACCTGAAGTAGTCTCGAGTGATACACCTTCCGTTTCCCTCGTCACAAGCGAGTGCATGTGCTGTACTGACCACGTTCCGAATCTGGCGGCCGTTGAGCGGAAGTCACTTCCTGTCTCCTCGATTCATGCCTTGACCTTCTTGCGTTCTTCGGGATTATCGTATTCAATACTGTCCAGATAGTGATTGAAAATGTTGATCTTGTCTCTTTGTCGTAGGTCGTCATGACAGAAAGCCAGATGGATTCGTGATTGGACGGCTATGTAGACCGACTTGATCCGGTTGGTGGTCAGGATTGTGATGATTCTCTTGATGAGCTGAGTCAGTCATTTCTGTGCCTGAATCTTGCGACAGAAGTATATCTTCAAGAAAGGCTGGGACCTAAGCAGCCGACTATTTTAATCTTCAGGTAAGCATTCCTAGTAACATATAACAGCTAACCATTTTCTCGGAGCCAGGGCTTTGTACTGCCATTCTGAAACTACCACAGCTCGGAGTTGACCTTTCAGTGGAAAGAATACATAAGCGACTTTCACAGTGAATGCCGAGACGGTCAGTTTACTCCATAGGGATGTCAAGAGCACCCAGAGTAACACGGGAAAGCTACCCGAGGAGATTGAAGAGGTTGAAAAAAGAACTTAACCGTAAGTCCATTCACTGATGCATGAAACTGGCACTATCACAGGGGATCAAGCCACATAGTTTTATGGCCTAGAGTCATGGCTATGTGCCTCGCTTGCTCATCTATCTGAGTCACTTCGCCTATATGAGCCTGCTCCCACCCCCATTCTCCCCTTTCAGAACCTAAGCTCTTCTCTCACTCGAATTGCCCTTGCTTTCCTTCGTTCCGAGAACATCCAACTGAAGAAAACCGATTCTTAGAAATCAAAAGTCAGACATGGCAAATCGAAAGATGGCAGCTATGCAGAACCTCCAGATAATCAAGCAGGATCTTGATATTCCTGACGACTGCGCCCATACAGATCTCGAACAATACAAGAAAACGCTCACTACCTACTTTCATGAGGGCTGGCCGCTCATGACAGCTGATCGTTTGGGAAAGGATGAGGTGTATCAAAACTGGCGTCAATGTTCGACGTCAAGCTGTCTGTTACTCCACGGCCTTACTCAAACCAATAGCACCCGTAAAAGCCTTCATAGCTGGCTTTCGCTTGCCGCCATGGAGGTTACGGAGGAATTGCGTAAACAAAAGAAACATGTGGCAAATTACTTCTGCCATCATGAGGGGATAACGCCGTGGATTCACATCCGAGCTCTCATGTGGAGTCTTGTTTTTCAGATTCTTCGCTCGAAGCCCGACATCCTGCTGAAAGATTTAACTGAGATCCGTCATCGTATCACCACATGCAACAAAGAAGATGACGACAAGGCCTTGGAGGATATGTTTAAAACAATGGATCGGGTTCTCCAGTCCTTCGGTGGCAAACAGGACGTTCTCTATCTCATCATTGACCGACTGGATAACTCTGAGCCCCAGCACCTGCACGAAGGCCTGCTCAACAAGTTTTTCAATCTTGTCCGCGAGGCACCGTGTACGATAAAAGTCATGGTTGTGGTGGAGTCAACTGAGTGGAAGGTTAAAGTGTCCACATGTGAGGACATTCAAAACAATTCAGACAACTATCTTGCTTGCAGACTGGAATGGGATCAGGAATGCCCTTGGATATAGGAGGATTCTGCCAGTCTCGTGCACCTTTGTCAGGGGTGGTCATCCACGTAACCTGATCTTCGTGTAGACAGATGTATGTCTAGTTACCTGTTAGAGTAGTTGACATCAATCAACCAGTTACTCTATCCTTCAGCCTCTTCTCTCCTTGCAAACAGACGACGCATACAGATTAAGAGTAGAAGTTTATTAATGTATGCGACCAACTGTTGATACTGCACAACTCGAAATTCGACTGTCAAGTAGACAACGTCAAATCATTAACACGTCAATTATCTCCATCGACAACAAAGGAAAGGACACATAAATCCAGAAAACAAAATCTCCAGCAGAATATCCGTGATTTATGGAAGCACACCAAAGACTACAACGGCAAATACCTTGCCGACAGCTGAAACTCGAGGCCTTTGCGTTGGATGACGACCAGTCTCCAAATTTCAAGCCATCTTTCTTTGATCCTCTTATTGCAGACGTACTGACTGAATACCTCATCGACTGGACTTATCGTGGAAAGCCAAATGCATCCTTCTATCCAGAATCTAAAGGCCAAATCTCCAGCGTCTGAAACAACTCCCTGGGTTGAGACTGACTGATCGTTTAAATGAGATATGTCGCGACCGTCGTTTATGGAGCCTCATCATGTACGTATTCTTTCACGCTCATTTTTGAGGGTTAAAATCTGATAGTCCACGTTACACACTTCTACTGCATTGCACCTCATAATCGAACCTGTTCAGCGTGTTTGTTTGCTTTATCCTCGGCGCTTCTTATGGAGAAACATCTGCTATTCAGATTCGTCAAACGAAGACGCTTAGTGCATTTTGACTCAACTATCTGCTGGGAAAGTGCTAGCTTTTTTGTTTTCGCACTAAGGCAATTGCATGTCTTCTAATATCTCATTCGAATAGATATTTTTCTTCTCGAGTTGTAATGTATAACTCAAGGATGGCTGTGAAAGGCTTTTGATTCTAGGAGTAAACTGAACCTAGATGGAATTTTTCTGCCCACCGCTAAGCTTGCAGAATACCGTGCCCTCTGGATTGTCTTGTTGACAAAGCAATCGTCTCTGACATTACCATTAATTGGGAAGCAATATGCGTCCAGATTAGGTGATATACACGCACATCTGCTATACTACATAGACAAAGCAATTCAATTCCATACAGTACGTATATACACACAATACAATACAATCTGACTGAATCATACAGTCCTTCTCGATAAGGGATGATCTGACAAAAGCATTTCTTTAATCTGTTCCTTGAGAAGGAATTTTTCGCGCTTTCATGATGAGAACCAACTAGTCTGCTGTTCCCGTCTCGCCACAATAATCTCTGACACTTCCAATGGTCTCGTTGCGTGCGCGCTCCAGGCTTTTGTGGCATCACAACACAGGGAAACCGTCACCAGATCGCCGTTCAAAGCACTCTTATCAGTCTCAACGGAGCTCGCTTAGAGATAGCTTTGAGTATGGAGTTCGCGCCCGGGAATTTGCGGGAGTAAAATTCAATTTTTTTGTGCTATAGCAACAGAAACTCACCACGATGACTCTCGAGGGTTGATTAGGGCAAACTCAAGGATCAATAGGGACAGGCGCTAACGGAGCGAGCCATATCTTCCCTGGCAGGGTTGCCGCACAAATCACCGTGGCATCTTCTTTCAATGAAGAGGATCAGAATCAAAAGTTCTTCAAGGTGATGTTCGTGCCAAATTTCGGTACATCTCTTCCCGGCGTGTCGTTATGGAGAAAAAAACTGTCAATTTCTAATTCTCCTCATCCCTCGCTCTCCAAGGTCCCCGGAATCGTTGGCCCTTCGGAATGCGAGTAGATCCTGGTTCGTCGTAACAAATCAGCAGGTCAAGTGAGGAACCCCTGAGTTCCAGGCGGTCTTTTTTCGTTTTATACTCGAATGACTGGACGTATACGACTGTTGTTACCACCTCATATGAAAAGAAGAGGCAACTGCAGCTTTGATGATGGCATCAACAAAGCGATTGCTGGCCATCATTCATGATCCACCCGATCATTTGGGCAGTTTCCTGCATGCCCACCGTGATAAGCAGGCTCTCTGACCCCTTCCTGACCTTTCCCTCGATAACCGCCAGAAGCCTGCCTGCTTTGTTATAGAGCACGATATATCCAGCAAGGGGAGCAATTTTATCAAATGTTTCTTGGGATGTCATCGCTGCCAAGAGTAAAAGCTGAGCAGGGTTGAAGCTGGACATGGGAGCACCATGCTCGAGTTTGCCGGCTCGACAGATTCTGAGAAAATGTTTGGTAATATATCGAGCACAAAGCCTGTGTTCTTCTTCAGATCTGTCTTCGGTCTTCCAGTGTTGAGAATCCATCTCAGCATTCGGAACTTCTCGTATACGATCAAGGTTGGCTAACGTCTTTAGCCGATCTTGATCTAGCCGATCTTGATCTCGAAGTATACACATTGTCAATATCCTGGAAGAAAATAATTCCTGGATAGGAAGAGTAAATTCAGTGCCTGCTAACAACACCATTCGCGATGCTGGAAACCGCCGTCAGTCCTGGCTTGATGCTTAGCCGCTCCATATGCGCCTTTCCAGCTATTATTCTTGGAGTTGTATTTGTTGTATTGTCAGGGTTAATCCAAGCCGGCCTCACAGAGTCAATTCAAAGATCCCAAGATCGACAGTTCTTTTTGATTCGTTGAGGTATTGAGCGTCTCGCTGAGCTCTAGTCAAAACAAATTTCTTCAAAGCACTACTCGCAGTCAGCAAAAACACTATTTAAACATAACTAGGTGTATACGCACTTCATGCCGGCAATCTTCTCCGCTTGCGTCGTTGAGATTCTTCCTCTCTTGACTTGGATAATTCATATTAGCACCACAGCAAAGAAAGAAAAGAAACGTACGATGAATATACCCATATTGGTAAATTCCGGAGAGGTTTTTCTTTGCTTCCACGATGATAATTAGTTTTTGAATTGTCACAACGTTAGGATAGAGGTTATATCCCAGCACGTAGTTGGCATCGCCTCGAGTCATAGTTGCAACAGCTAGCCTCTTTTGCTAAACAGATGTGACAGAAGTAGTATCATGACTAGTTAGAAATGCAGACTGCCTTAACATAGCTAAAGCAATGCATTTTGACTGTATATTGCCTGTATGGTCGTCTTGGTTAATTCATCCAAGGGTAGGAGAGAATATATATAAAGTTATCGGTCTGTCTTGGGAGGATGAGGATTATTTATATGACGGAGTGAAGCTACTCTAGGCAGTGAATGGCCAGATCAGTGCCAGTATCATTAAAGTCTTGAAATATTCACTTGAATTGGCCGCAATACCAGCCAGATCCCTGCCTCCTATTTGGGCCTAGTGTGCTGCAGTTACCTTCGCCCATCCACATTCACTTGGACATTCACCTCGACAATTCGCACAATCAGCAGGCTCCGTGCTCCAAGGCTTTATTTTGTTCCCTGTTATCAGAATAATTCCTTCTCCGCATGATGGACTCAACTGCAGTATAAAAAAAAACAGCCAATCGGCAGCTCCGGCGACATGCCTAACGCGGCTAAATTAGGTCTTATTAGGTAAGCCAACAGCGCGATAACAGCGGCGACGCTGATTGGCGCCCACGCGACACGCAGCTGGCGATGGCACGTTTCTGTCGCATGGCAACTTGCCAGGCTAAAATAATGAATGAATCAACGGCCCCAAGAACGGCCGCCATCTGCCTTGTCTGGTTCTGCCAGGCTTCTGGAGCTCGTTGGTCGCCTGTTCGCGGCCCTCGACACCGCCTGTCATCACTCGAGGTCCATGGTCCTTCGCCTCGTGCCGTGGAATTCTCCCTCTGCTCCATACTTATTTGCCGCATCCCCGCATCCTAACCTCCTTCCACCTCCCCAGATCCTGGCGTCCTTGCCTCTCTTCTGCTGCGCTCGCTGCTGAGCGCTGCCTCTGTGTCACGCCGTGTCACTGCGCCAGGACACGCTGCCATGTCGTCCAACTCCACCCGTGCAACCCCCCAGGGGGGCATCCTCGAGGGCGGCAACCCGACCGTCTACGACAGCAAGAACCCCATCATACTGTTCGTCATCCAGGCCGGCATCATCCTCGTCTTCTGCCGCCTCCTCCACTGGCCGCTGTCCAAGATCCGCCAGCCGCGCGTCATCGCTGAGGTGATCGGGGGCATCCTGCTGGGCCAGTCCGTGTTCGGCCACATCCCGCACTTCCAGGACACCATCTTCCCCGCGGCCTCCATCCCCGCTCTCAATCTGGTCGCCAACCTGGGTCTCGTGCTGTTTCTGTTCCTGGTCGGCTTGGAGACCGATCTGCGGTTTCTGATGAGCAATTGGCGCATTGCCTTTGGCGTGTCGGCGGCCGGTATGGTGCTGCCTTTTGGCCTGGGCTGCGCCATCTCCTACGGCCTGTACAACCAGTTCTACGACGAGCCGGGGGTGCTGCCCATCAGCTTCGGCACCTACCTCCTCTTTATCGGCACTGCCATGGCCATTACGGTAACTCTAGCGGACCGTCATTAGTCCTGATTGATTGGCTAACTCCGTCGCTTTCTGATTAGGCCTTTCCAGTCCTCTGCCGCATATTGACCGAACTCAAGCTGCTCAGCACAAACGTGGGTGTCATCGTGCTGTCGGCCGGCGTGGGGAACGACGTGACAGGCTGGATCCTGCTCGCGCTGTGCGTGGCTCTCGTCAACGCCTCCAGTGGCCTGACGGCATTGTGGGTGTTGCTGGTTTGCATCGGATACGTCCTCTTTGTGACCTTGCTGGTCAGGCCCGCCTTTATCTGGTTCCTGCAACGCACCCGCAGTCTTGAAAAGGGCCCCAGTCAGTCGGTAGTCGCGGTGACGCTGCTCATGGCCTTGGTGTCGGCCTTCTTCACCCAGGTCATCGGCATCCATGCCATCTTCGGTGGCTTTCTCATCGGGCTGATCTGCCCGCACGAGGGCGGCTTCGCCATCAAACTCACCGAAAAGGTTGAGGATCTGGTGTCGACCCTCTTCCTCCCCTTGTACTTTGCCCTCTCCGGTCTGCAGACCAACCTGGGTCTGCTGAACACGGGGGTTGTTTGGGGTTATGTCATCGGGATCACCGCCATAGCCTTTTTCGCCAAAGTCGCGGGTGGCACTCTGGCATCCCGATTTGCCGGTCTGTTATGGCGAGAGAGCTTCACCGTCGGAGTCTTGATGAGCTGCAAGGGGCTGGTGGAGTTGATTGTGCTGGTAAGACTGGTCGAGGTCGTAGTGTTTGGTCGATAGCTGACTTGGTCTTAGAATATTGGACTCCAAGCCAAGATTCTCAGCGAGCGGACTTTTACCATGTTTGTCGTCATGGCGCTCGTCACCACCTTTGCAACGACCCCTCTCACCTCTTTCCTCTACCCCAACGTGGTATCAGGTCAAGGTGGATCGATGGCGGCGCGGGGAGATCGACTGGGACGAGAAGCCGCTGCGCTCGTCGTCTTCGGGAGGCGACACGCTGACGGCGAGTGACAAGCTGCGCGGCAGGCCGATCCACAGGGTGCTCGTGTATCTGCGCCTGGACAGCCTGCCTAGTGTCTGTACGTTTGTCAGTCTGCTTGGCGCTACCACCGATGCGAAGCCACCGGCGCCCCGCGTGCATTATTCCAAACGGGATGTTCCCGACAAGACCGCCTCGACCGTTGAGGAACAGCCAGAGGAGGCCGAGTCGGAACGCAAGTCGCTGCAGGCGCATGGCATCCGACTGATGGAACTCACGGATCGTCTTTCCAGTACGATGAAGGTGTCAGAGGTCGACGAGTACGCCGTCTGGGATCCGGTGGTCAACACGTTCCGCGCGTTTGGCCAAATGAACAACATCCTCTCCGAGGGCCGTGTCGCCGTGGTGCCGGAGCACCTGTATGCGGACACGGTGGTAGATATGTCACGCGATGTGTCGGCGGACTTTTTGCTGCTCCCATGGAGCGCAAGTGGCAGCATGAGCGAGCGCCAAGATCTCGCTGGGACGGAGGACTCGTCGCGGCTGGCCAGCGCACCGTATCCGGCTTTTGTATCGAGGGTCGTCTCGCGGGTTGCCACCGGCGTCGGCATCTTCGTCGATCGGGGATTGAAAGTGCCGAACAAGGATCGTCCGGCGCCGACGCGGGCGAGCAGTTCATGGAGCTTCCGCAGCAGCCGCAGCAATGCGCCTGCGGTGCCGACGGCGCATCGCAACCAGCACATCCTGTTTTTGTTTTACGGCGGGCCGGACGACCGGTTCGGGCTGCGTTTCGTGCTGCAACTGGCGCGGAACGAGCTGGTCACCGCGACGATAGTCCATGCCGACGTTCCCGCGGACTCGCCATCGAGCTCGTCTGCGACCAAGCAGGGCGCTACTGTGTCTGGCCAGGACGACGTCCCTTCGACGCGGTCGTTGCCGATCTCAGTGCAGGAGAAAGAATCTGATACGGTCTTCTTCGCGTCGATCCGCGACTCGCTACCCAGTGAGCTGTCGTCCCGCGTCGTTTTCCGCCGGGTCAGTTTGGCTTCGACGGACGATGCGTCCACAGCGGTTAGTCTGGCGGTCAGCACGGCGCAGGAGGAGACAGAACGTGCTGGGAACGACGTCAGCCACATCGTGGCCGTCGGACGGCGCAGCGTGGGAGTTGAATGGGCAGTGTCGGATGCAAGTGACGAGGCCGGTGTCGATACGCGCACGGCGCTGGGCGTAGTGGGCGAGGCACTGGCTCGGCGGGGGAACGGCGTCAAGGCGAGCGTGCTTGTATTGCAGGCTGGCAGGACGGAGTAATTTTTACTTATCTTGGTTATATATTGTTGGTTCTGGTAATTTTGGCTAGGATTGGATAGTATAATGGATTTGGTTATGTTTATATCCGGCGTCCGCTGTACAGTATTTCATTCTCATATATTATCAAAACAACCAACACAAAAATCAACTGAGTACTCTCCCAGCCCTACCACCTAGTCGACCTCGTCACATCCGACTGACTGACTTGCTATTCCTATAAAGTACCCACCCTGTCGGCCCACCCAGTCCTTCATTGCTTGAAAATATATGACCCATTTCTCAACTCCGCGGCGCGGTATACGCCATTGCTAGATATATGCCAGCATCAGCATCAGTCAGTAACCTGAGCTTTTCCAGCTGCGCGGTCATCATAAAAAAAAGAAAAGAAAAAGAAATCCAGTCTTCGTTATTATCTCCAGGCTAAGTGCAAGACAGTACTCACCATTCCCAATAATCCTCAACGTCGCTTTGAAGGAGTTTTCATTTTTATTTCGATTTCCCTTGGGGGGATGGTCCTTCCCTGTACTAGGACCAGGACTAGCACTAGCGTCCTTATCGTCGACATGGTGTGTAACTTTTGTCTTCGAGTTCGATTCAGGCTCTGAGTCCGATCCGTATCCGTATCCGTGTCCGGATTCTGTCTCGTTGCGCAGTGTACTTCTTGTGCTACCGCTATAGCTGCTGCTGTCCATTCTCGTCCAGGACTGTCTCTCGTCATTGTCATTGTCGTCCCTCTTTTTCTTTCCCGGGCTGTGGCTCCTGTGGACTGCTCCAGGCTGGTTATCCCTTGTCTTTGATGACAAGAACGAGAAGCTAGAGGACATGGTTGATCTGAAGCTTGGATGTAAGAACAAAAATTAAAAAAAAAAGGAGAGAGAGAGAGAGGAGGAAAGAAAGGCGAGAGGATAGTATATTTGATCGAGTATGAGAGGAGAAACAGATGTGAAGGAGCTAACCAATTAATGTAATATCGAGCTTCTCTCGAAACGGGCGGATAGGTATAATCCCTACAAACAATATAATGTAGGTAATAATAGAGAAAAATATAATAAAAGGTGTATATATATATATTTATTTATATATATTGTGTGTATGTGGTTAATTATTAATTTCTCTTTCATTAACTGCCCTCCATTCCATTCTCTTTTTCTCTTTTGCATATGTTAGGATAAACTCTAGGCAACAGCAGCAGGAAAAAAAACAGGCAGCGATTGCTGGCGTTTTAATTATCCTATACGTTGTACTGCTGTACAGTATAGTGAACTCTGACTCGCCAGAGCGAAGAAAGGCAAAGAACTAGAATGTAGGATGACATACGTAAGCACTGTAGCCTGGAACGAAGGCCTCCCTTTTTTTTTGTTTTTGAATTTTTTACAGTATCTCAATTAAGTTGCGTATATTATCAATTTTATTCAATTCAAGTCATGATGGCGATCGCCATGATTTTTTTTTTGGCACTTGCAGGCGACTTTCCAAGGTTATTTGTGCACTGGATTCCTCTGTGCTGTTCTAGGTGCATGGAAGAAAGGAATGCTCAGGATGATAATGTACTATATATGTTCCGTAATCAATCAATTTGTCTGTCTATCCTCAGCACTATGATATATAGGTATTTCTTTTTTTTTTTTCCTTCTCGTTTTGATACACTGAGGTCAAACCTCAGAAAGCGTAACATGACACTTTCTTAATCAAGACACAAACAACAAGAACATCACATGATTTCCTAGCCCATCACAGTTAAGTTAGATAAAATAGACCTGGAAGAGTCTAGGATAAATGTTTAAGGAAAAGAATAGATTAATATATTTTTTAGACAGATAATAGATCTGCAGACTATAGTGTCGCTCGCCAGTAGAAAGTGACAGCAGTCCGCGCAGTACCTTGCAATAAATATAAATACTCTGTAAGCTCTGTATAATTGGCACACTGACTGTAAAGCAATATCATGTTACATGAAGGAGCTTAGTACCGGTAATCATGCAATGAGTTCTTGTCGATCGTTAATAAATCATCATGAGGTGAGGCAGTATTAAATGGTTAGGGTTAGGGCTAGCCATATTCGCCATCGGATGCACGATTGTTGTCATCGCACGCCATCTCGCCCAACCAACAGAGAATAGCAGAGGGTTAATCGCTCGACTAGATCTGTGTAATTGGCCTGTGTGGCATGATTTCAAGTTTTTTTATGTTTTTTTTTGTCATTGGTTGGAAATGTAGTACATGTACTAGATACCATGGTGCACCAACCTAATCACCATTCATCATTCTTGCTCGAATTGTAACAATCGAGTTCGCGACCAGGCCTATAAGGAGTCTTGCATGCATCGCGTCAGCATTTATCTCAGATAGCTAGCTGACTTGCAACTTCTTGTACTGGTTATCTATTCATCATTTCCTCCTTTCTTTCATTCTTTTCCGACATTCTTCCTGCCAGCAGCCATGTCTCTGCAAGATGAGAAAAAAGTCCCGCCTGACGCCGTTGCCAGCTCGCCTCCACCTTCACCTCCTGATATCGCGGAAGGAAAAACTGTCTCTGAGCGATATGCCGACGTCACGCTGGGCTTCGTCAAGCAGTACGCCCATACGGTGGAACCATTAACCCCGGAAAAGGAGGCCAGATTGCTCCGGAAGCTCTATCTCTCTATCATGACGCTGCTGCTCATTCTTAACCTGATGCTTTTCGTATGCACCAACAGATCATGCAGTTTAAGGTGCAGTGGCTAACTTCTAGCAGGTCGACAAAGCGACGCTCTCGTATGCTTCGCTTCTGGGCATTTTTGACGATACGCATATTAACCAGACCGAGTATAATAACTTGAATACCTTGTTCTATGTTGGTCAGTCCTGCTGTCGATGCTATATTCTCCTCCTCAGAATCGTTCTTTGTTTTCATTCTTTGCATACGTGTCTAACGTCAACAGGCTACATCATCGCACAAGCCCCCGGCCACTATCTAATGCAGCGTCTCCCCCTGGGTCGATTCGTTGGCGCCACCGTCTTCCTCTGGGCTGTCATCGTCTTCCTGCACTGCGCCGCCTACAACTACGGAGGCCTCATCGCCCTGCGTTTCTTCCTCGGCGCCGTCGAGGCCACCCTCGTCCCCGCCATGGAAATCACCCTGGGCATGTTTTTCACCCCCGCAGAACAGGGCCTGCTGCAACCTCTCTTCTGGACGTCCTGCATGGGCGCCCCCATCCCTACCGGCTTCATCGCCTACGGCCTCCTGTACAGCCGCAGCTACGTGCCGCCCTGGAAACTTTTCATGATCGTCACAGGCGGCATCACGCTCCTGCTAGCCGTCTACAGCTGGTTCTTCTACCCCAGCAACCCCGTCGACGCCAAATTCCTGTCCACGGAGGAAAAAGTCTGGACAATCCAGCGCGTGCACGACGCGACCAGGAGCTCCATCGAGCAGAAGCGCTTCAAACCCCACCAGTTCTGGGAGACAATCCGCGATCCCGTCTCGTGGCTCTTCGTCCTGCAGGCCTTCACCCTCATGATTGCCAACAACCTCGCCTACCAGCAGAATCTGCTTTTCCTGGGCATCGGCGTGTCGGATCTGGGCTCGACGCTGGTGGGCGTCGCCGGCGGCGGGTTCGCAGTGGCCTGCTGCATCATCGCAACGTTCCTGCTGCGGAGATTCCCCAACAACAACGCGTACTGGGCGACGGTGTGGTGTCTCCCCGCCATCGCGGGCGGAATTGGCATGGTGACGGTGCCCTGGAACCAGGAGATCGGCCTTCTGGCGTGTCTGACTCTGGCGAGCAACACATTTGGCATCGCGTACATCATCGGCCTCGGATGGACAACGTCCAGCGCCGCCGGCTACACGAAGAAGCTGACGCGCAACGTGCTCTTCATGGCCGGCTACGGCATCGCAAACCTCATCTCGCCGCAGATCTGGGTCGCGCGAGATGCGCCCCGCTACTATCCGGCGTGGATCGTGCAGATCGTCATCAGTTGGGTTGGCACGCCCGTGATTCTGCTGATAATCCGATGGATCTTGTCCAGACGCAATGCGGAGCGACGGGCCTGGATCGCCGCGCAGGAGGAGTCGGGCAAGCATGCGGTGGGCTTTGTCGAGAAGACTAATGAAGAGGGCCGTCCGGTCAAGGTTGAGGTGGAAGTTTCGTTGCTGGATTTGACGGATTTGGAGAATAAGTATTTTATTTATCCTCTATAGTAGATAGAATTAGCTAGAATATAACTAGACTATAGCTAGAGATATACAACTTCTCGTCGCCCTGAGGACTGTGTTTCTTACGAAAATCGCTATTCTAAAAAACATATACACTTTTCTCGTTTCTCTCAGAATTCGATACTTCTCTTCAGCTTATATATCCCCTATCCGGCCTCCTGTGCTGCGAGAAATTTATTGGTGTAGGATTAGGGCTAGGGCTGGGAACAAGGGTTAACCGGAGCAGCTAACTACACAAACGTCCTTTTTCTAGGTAGCTAGCCCATTACTTGTTAAGATAACTTTCACTTAATTTAGCTGGTGCATAGTCTGCAGCCGAATGGTGCAGTCTAAGTGTTGCAGAACTCATTAGTGTTCGTGCTCAAACTCTCCGACTAACGAGTCTTGCATCGTTCAACGGTAGGATATTATTCGATCATCCAACTGTAGAGTAAATTCAAACTCGTTATTCAAGTAGGGATAAAACACATTTACATTCTTGTCCCCCTGTACCAATATTATGTTCGTCCATCGTTATCTACTTCGCTATAAACTCAAGTCGCAGCGATGGCCCTTCGCTGTCCCTGTACCTATACTGTGCTTACTTCCTGTACAATGACATATGTATGTACTTGATAATATCTGCTTCACGCTTGACCTCGTGCCAGTCGTCGCCCGAATTCCGTCACCAGGCAGACCTTCAGTCCGCCAGGGATGCCGTGCCGGGCAAAACGCCTGTAGTCGTCGGAGATGTTCTCGAATTCATCTATACAGAATCACCCAAATCAGATCTCTGCACTATATTGGAGTGTACGCGACCGGGGTAATACCCACCTTCATACGTGAACACCCACGACGGGTCATATTTCCCCTCGAGGACCATATTCAGCAGGAAAGGATGGTACTAGCATCATCATCAGAAATGATTTCAGAATCAAGGAGGATACAGGGCGCACCTTCTGTGCTGCTAATTGCCCCCCTCGCACCGTGATCGACTTCTCCATCAACATGCCAATGGGAAAGTCGTTTGTGTTGTACAGGAAATCCCCTATCAGCGCCATCCGGCCGCCCTTCTTGGTCGACTTGAGGATCGCATGCACCGTGTCGCCGCTGTCGCGCTCCACGCCGATCGCCCGCATCGCCGCGTGCTTGGGGCTGTTCGTGCTCCGGAAGCCGCTGGCCTCGATGCCGCAGTCCAGCCCGTGCGGCTGGATCGACAGGATGTAGTCTGCCACGTCCGGGTGCAGCGACACGTCGATCGGGATCATGCCAAAGTCCTCGGCGATCTTCAGTCGCTGCGGGTCCTTGTCGACGGCGTACACCTTGCTGGCGCCGCGCAGCTTCGCCAGCCGCTGGATAGACAGGCCCACGGGTCCGCACCCCCAGACGCCGACGACATCGCCCTTGCCCACCTCCGCCAGCTCGCAGCCGTGCCACGCCGTCGTCGTCACGTCCGCCAGGCCCAGGAGCTTCTTGGGGTCGACGTCCTTGGGCGCCTTGACGCACGTCAGGTCCGCATTCGGCACGCGACAATACTCCGCCTGGTCGCCGGCATAACCGCCCATCAAGTCGGAATAGCCAAAGATGCCCGACAGACGATGCCCGTAGGTGGCTTCCATGTCGCGCGACGGGTTGGTCGAGTCGCAGAGCGAGTATTCCTGCCGGACGCAGTACTCGCACTGGCCGCAGGCGATGATGGGCAGGATGATGACCCGATCACCGGGCTGCAACCGACGCACCTGGTCGCCGACATCCTCGACGATGCCGATGGCCTCGTGGCCCATGATCATGCCCTTGCGCATCGAATCGTTGAGCTCGCCCTCGTAGATATGCAGGTCGGAGCCGCAGATGCTCGTGTGGGTGATGTGGACGATGGCATCGGCCGGGTCCGTGATGGTCGGTTTGGCCACCTCGCCGATTTCGATGTTGCGCGTGCCCATCCACAGGGCTGCCTTCATCGTCTCTGTCGGGTGAGGCTTGTACGCCGTCGAAACGACGGGGCTGATTGTGTTAGTATGGCGGAAATATGCTGCACATACATGCAGCGGCAGGTTGCTACTTACCTCGAGACTGCTGCCATGTTGACAAGAACTATCCAATCAGCCAAATGGAGGTATCCGAGTCGAATTCAACCTGCTCGCGACTGGAAAGTGGCGCTACTGAAATGGGCCTGGTGAAGAGGACAGTTTTGCAGAAGAACATATATGCATTTCGCGGCAGGTATTTGGTCGTGAGATCATGGTGATATTTCTTCCAGCAGGAAGCCATCGATATCAGACATCACCGTGTCATCAGCAGAGCTTGCAGCGGATGCAGATGAGTCGTGATTGACGATGGGTCCAGGGAACAGCCGGAATAATGGAACTGCTCCCTTCCACAGAAAAGATCCATTGATCGGGGACGAATCGTCTCTCGCATGTGTCGCGACGCAACAAGCTTAACTTAATTGACAGGCGTTCATCTGTGATTGGAGGCGGAAGTCAAAACCGTCGGGTGGAGATTCCGAGGAATGAGTATTTTTATTTTAAATAATCGTGTTTCATCGGAATACTCCTCATCTGAACACGAGTACTTGCTGGTCTTGGTCTCATGGATTCTGCCCTGTTGTTGAATTGTGAAGTGTTTGTAAATGTTAGTGCGGTAGTGGTAAATATATTTAGTGTATCATATTAATAAAGCACCCTTAGTAAATTAACGAAGTTAACAGCCTTAAACCTAGATGCATAAATAGTAAACTAAATTATCATCATCATAATAAAAAAATACCTGCTCTAAGCTGTACCCCTTGGAGTTTTCCGTTATTATTATTATTGAATCAGCCATATTATTTGACTGAGAGCTAACCCGGATTTCGATTGGTCAAAGATGTCATTATCGTCTAGCTTGGCTCCTGTAAAATCGCAAGTAGACACCGAAAAGCTGGGAAACGGGAATCTTAACCATCCTGTGAAGATGCTTATTTTTCCAACTGTTCCCGTTCTGGAAATGATAGCTCCATTCCAATGCAACAACCGCCTATCATTGCGGTCTCTCCCTTGCGTAGAGCCAATCTCGAGTATGCTCCTACATTCCTACCCCAGCAGGGCTAACCCTCAGCGGTGAGTGATAACAAGTGGTTCGCTGAAAGAATGAATCGAATAATACTGGATGACATTTGACAATTTATCCGGCGTCTCAATGCACCCCAGTCGCGTCCATGTATGCGCCGATGTCATTCTTCATTCCTCTGCACTGTCCTGTCTAGTATGGCCGTCGTCAAAAATTTGAAAATTTGATGGGATCGCCTTGAAAACGATACACTCAACAAGCAATTGACTGGTCGATCATCATCGCGACCATGTCTCCCTGACTTTGAATTCTTCTTCATTTTTTTTTCTTTCCTGCTTCTCGACGGCTGAGCGACGTCCTACCACAATATCAATATCTTCGACTACATTTATCCTCTCGTATCGTCTCCCGCGTAGTGTCGTCTCTGGCTAGAGAATCACCATGAGGAGCCCGTCTTTCACGCTTTTCCGTGACAATGCGACGCCCAACACGTCGCAGGAGAGCATGAAGAGGATCATCGCCGTCGACCAGCGTCCCGCATCGCCGGAAAACGAAGTCGAGCGCGGTCATCACGAAAATGCACTGGAACTCGACGACCGGCGCACCAGCACCGACACCGTGCGCAGGGTCTGGGTGGCCAACACGGGCGACTGGTGGATGATCGCCTGTTTCGCTGTCTTGGGTGCGACGATTTCGTTCGACGCGATGGTTGTGGTGACGATTCTTCCGGTTAGTACGGTGCTTTCCCATGTGTAATATCTGACTGACGAGATAAGGATCTGTCAACGGTCCTGCAAGGAAACCCTACCGACGCCCTTTGGCCAGCGACCTGCTACTTCCTCGCCAACGCCGTCGTCCAACGCTTCTTCGTCGCCATGTCCCAAGTGCTGGGTCGCCGGTTCGTGCTCTTCATCTCAGTCGCCATCTTCACCGTAGGCAACCTCCTATCCTGCATCGCTCCGCTCTTCCCGGTCCTCCTCGTCGGTCGAGCCATCCAGGGCATCGGTGCCGGCGGCATGGTGGCTATACCGCTCGCCATTCTGACGGACATGACCGCCCTCCAACAGCGAGCCGGATACAACGGCATCATCCTGCTGGTGAGCGCCCTCGGAGCCCTCACGGGCCCCGTCGCCGGCGCGCTGTTCATCGAGCACGGAATCCTGTGGCAATGGATCTTCTACATCACCCTCCCCCTCTGCGCCATCCTCCTGCTGGGAGTTCAAATGGTCGTCAGGCCCGTGGAGCAGCAATTGAAGCCGAAACGAGAGCTCCTGGACCTCGACTGGACCGGCGGAACCCTCTTCACGGCCAGCATGGTCAGCGTCCTGCTGGGAGTCACCTGGTTCGGCGAGGAGGATTCATCGCACCGCTTGCAGACGTGGGTTGCGCTGGGAGCGGGGATGGTCGGCCTGCTGTGTGCGATGCTGTACGAAAAGGCGGGTGCTTCGAAGCCGTTCCTTTCGTTCCCGATGGTGAAGAAGTCGTCCATGGCATTTACCCTCGTCTGCATGCACAGTTATCTGGTCAGTCAGCCGTCACGGAGTTGCAGTAGGATTCGCTAACTCGCGTCAGATGTTTTCCGAACTGTATTACATCCCAGTCTACCTGAAAGCCGTACAGAACTTCTCCCCTACTCTGGCAGCCGTCTTTCTGATCCCCATCACGGCCACCGCTCTCTCTGCCACCGCAGCAGCGGGCATGCTCACCGCGCGATTCGGTCACCACCGCTGGGCGATGTGGCTGGGATGGGCCCTGAACATCGCGTCTGCAGGATGCATGATGCTGATGGACGTCCACACCAGCGCGCAGATCTACGTTCCGATCTTCGTCGCGGCTGGCCTGGGCCACGGTCTCACCGTGTCAGCCATGCATGCAGCCATCCAACAGCTGGCCGACGCGCCCCATGTGCAGGACGCCACCATCATCGCCAGCTTCCTGAGCACCCTGGGCATGTGCGCGGGGATCGTGATGACCGGAGCGACATTCCGGAACCGACTCACGCACAACCTTGTGGCGCTGGATGTCCCTCGCGAGATGATCGATGCAAGGACGGCAGAGGTCTTCCTTTTGGGTCCGACCAACACCACCATCCCTGCAGGTAGGACTGAGACGGTGCGGCTGGCGTATGCGCTCAGTTTCAAGACTGTCGTCGAAGGATTGACCATTTTGGCGGGTCTCGGGGGGGTTCTATCGTTTTTGTGGGCTGGAGGGCAAGACGTTAGTATAATGACTCGACAGAGTGAGACCATGACTTGTTGAGTCAGTCATCATCTGGTAATTGCGCTAGTGGACTTACTTTTAGAGTTCATAGAGTCGAGTTGTCAATATTCGAAATGAGAGTCAGAATACAATCCGGTGAAACGAAAGTCATAGTAAGCTGCAGTGGAAGAATGATGGCAGCTGACTGGCACGCGGGAGCGCAGCCCTGACCTAAGCCCTAAGCCCTGGTCTGGAGCTGAACAGGTCTCAGAACAGGCGTGCTGAAATTTGTCGTCATTAGTAAAGAGGAATGAAAATAAGCAACCCTGTGGAAATCAGATCATTTATTAAGACCATATTATTAGGGTTTGGATCAGTAGCAGCCTAAGGCATCGAGCTAGTAAGCCCAACTTACTCCGTAGGGGTAGTGCAGCAAGTGCAATACGAATCCGGAGTGCTGGATGATTTTCTGAAAATAGTAAAAACAATCAACTCTAGCATTATTACTATTGCTACAGAGTACGTAGAGAATGTAATTGTGAATAGATACTGATAATAAAATTACCTGTTGAGTTAGGAGTCGAGTAGACAACCCATCACTGTTCTAAGTTCGAGTCCTCTAAAAGAAAATATAAAATGGTCCATTTCTTGGAGTATATAAAATCTAGAACATGACCCATGCCCTCAATATGCAGACAGAGCCCATCACTACTACGCTTCGACGTGCGACATTCATGCCAAATCTGTAATAGAACAAAGCAATCTACATTCTTCACAGAGATTATATTTCCAAATTCGTCGCCGGTATCGGCGGCCCGTCCCCACAAGCGGTGAGCGCACAGCCAATCAAAGCGCTTGATCCCGATCTGACAACATGATCCAGCCCAGCTCAGGATCCACGACATCTGCTGCCCCGTGGGGTAGATAGATAACAACTGCCAGATTGAAGAAAGAAATGCTAACGCAGTGATCGTCTTCGCCAGCTTCCAGTGTTGCCTCCACTCGTCGAGGATCGTCCCAATTGCTGCTGTCTCTGTCCGCAGAACCCCGCTCTTCCGATCGCTGACTACCTGTCTGTCGATGGCGCCGTTTCCGCCTCCTCCGGTCGATACTATCGGTTAGTATTACCTAGATATCAGGATCATTTATTTCTATATGCCATCTATCTAGATTTTGGGGCATTGACTGACTGACAACGCAATTGCAATGCAGACTGGAACAATGTCGGTTTCAAGGTCCGTGAAGGTAAAGCACCTAGATACCAGATAGATAACGACAAGTTCACATTGCTAACTAACTGCAAGTCAACGGCCACGTCGAGTCGCACTTCTCCTACTCCTCCGGCGGCACCTGGTCCGAACCCAGATTCGTCGCGTCGCCGCACATCCCGCTGCACGGCATGGCTCCCGGCCTCAACTACGGGCAGCAGGCGTACGAGGGCCTGAAAGCCTTCCGCCACCCGGACGGCCGCATCGCCATCTTCCGCCCGGACCGCAACGCCGCGCGCATGCGCCGCTCCGCCGAGTTCGTGTCCATCCCGCCTGTCCCCGAGGAGCTGTTCGTGCGCTGCGTCCGCCTCGCTGTCGCCGCTAACGCCGAGTTCGTCCCGCCCCACGAGTCCGGCGCCGCCATGTACATCCGTCCGCTCGTCTTCGGGTCCTCCGCCCAGCTGGGCCTTAGCCCGCCTGACGAGTACACCTTCGTCGTCTTCGTCATGCCCACGGGTGTCTACCACGGCGTGCACGCCGTCGACGCCCTGATCCTCGAGGACTTTGACCGCGCCGCCCCCGAGGGCACCGGCTCCGCCAAGGTCGGCGGCAACTACGCGCCCGTGCTCCGCCACAGCGAGAAGGCCCGCCGCGAGGGCTTCGGCATCACGCTGCACCTCGACAGCAAGACGCGCTCCGAGGTGGACGAGTTCTCGACGTCGGCGTTCATCGGTGTGCGCAAGACCGGTTCTAACATCACCATCGTCGTCCCCGACAGCCGCAACGTCATCGACTCCGTGACCGCCGCGTCTGTGTGTGACATCGCGTCCAACGTCTTCGGCTACAGCGTCGAGAAGCGCCGCATCGCCTACGACGAGATCCGCGAGTTCGCCGAGGTCATGGCCGCCGGCACCGCTGCCGCGCTGGTGCCCATCCGCAGCATCACCATGCGCTCCAGGAACGACAGGTTCACGTTTGATTGCGGCGGCGAGGACGGCGCTGGCGGTGAGGTCTTCTCCAAGCTGCTCACGACCCTCAGGGGTATCCAGAACGGCACGATCGAGGACAGGTTCGGCTGGCTTGTTGAGGTCGAGCCTCCGCCGGAGGGATGGGTTGATGCGGGTGGTCGTGTCGACGCCACGGTGACCAATGTGCCGTGACGGGTGAATAAAAAATATAAATTCACTACCTAACATGGGCGATGTAAGGGATATATATAAAGGTAAGAGAACTCAAAAGGAAGAAAGAGATAGAAGAAATATCTACTGGGAAGGATCTACTTGTCTCGGAGAACAAAGCAGTTGAGGTCAGATAGAAATCCAAACTTTCTTTATTTTCGGAGAAAAAAAAAGACCTCTAGTTCTATTACCAACACAACCCATCGGTCTGTTAATACAAGCGATCGATCAATCGATCGACTGATTAGTATCAAAGACTAAGACTCCTGCAACTGCTCCACCGACCCCTATGTGCCCGGCTAGGTATTTACAGTCCAGCAGAAGGGAGTAGTGCGTAGATAAGAGAATAAACGACTCCACCATCGAACTCTGCATTCGCGTATCATGTTTGAAACTGCACCGATCCGACTTCTGCATACGACTCATCTTCAATCACATCGGCACTTGAATTACCCGCCAAGCGTTAAAGCTGATTGGCATACAACCCAAACAGCTAAGAGTTAAAACCTGAATTGATCCTGTAACCCATGCGAAGTCTTATGCAGCGCGAACATTCCGTCTCGTCAGCGTCTTGCGCATCTTCTGAGCCTTCCCCGTCGGGAGGATGTCGCCCCGGCTGTCGTCGCCGCTGCTCGCGGTGCCCTCGTCCTCGTCCTCGCTGTCATCGTCGTCACTCTCGCTCTCGCTCTCGCTCTCGCTCGAAGAACTCTCGCTGTCACTGGGCGGGTCAAAAATGCTCTTGCGGCCCGGTCGAGACGCCCGACTGCCCCGTTCCGGTGCCTTCTCCTGCGCCTTCTTCTTCGCCACCTGCGTCGTCTCCTCCATCATGGCTTTGAGCGATTTCAGATCCGGCCGACTCGACACCCCGTTGGAGAGATGGGATTTCGGCTGCGACGACGACAATCCTGGCGACTGCACGCCATTGACGGGCGTCCAGCCACTATTGAAATTAAAACTGGGCGCGCTGCTCTTTGCCGCAGTCGAGGGTTTCTTCCTCTCGATTGGCGAGGAAATGTCGACGGCATTGACAGTCTTGGAAGAAACGTCCTCGTCGCTGGATTCTTCCTCTTCGTCGTCTTCCTCAGACTCGTCGGACTCTTCGGATTCATCCGACTCGTCGTCAGATTCAGAATCACCAGACTCTGATGACTCTGATCCGGAAGCCCCATCGTCCGTGCTATCTTGACTGGCTGGTTCCTCTGCGTTCTTCTTGGTCGCTGGAGCAACCGAGGCCGACTTCGAGCCAGCTTGAGTTACGGACGGAGACCGGTGGTTTTGGAGCATCTGGGCTTTGCTCATCTCCGGCTCCTCCGCTTCTTCTCTAGTCTCTGCACCATTCGAATCGGCTGCGGGTTGCTCAGACGTCTTCTCTTCTGCGGCCTCCTCGTTAGATCCCGACTCCGAGTCCGACTCCGATTCTGACCCCGACGCTGACTCCGATTCAGTCTCTCCGCTGTCGTCCTGCGTCAGATCAACCTTCGTGATGGTCCTCTTTGCTGTAGTCTTGGCTCTCATCGACGCCGGTGAGTCCTTCTTGCCCTGCGTCTCCTGCAAGGACCGAACCTTGTCTGTCGGCGACAGATTGCTGTCATCAGAGACAATAGACGACTGCGGGGCTGCATCTTTTTCCGTTGTCTTTTCAGAAGGCTTATCCACAGTAGGGGACGGCCCCACAGGCTTTTCCTTCGGCGCAGCTCCCTGATCGCGTGCCTTGGAGCCAGTCTTCTGATCGCTTGCCTTGGTGCTGGCCGGAGATCTCTTGTCATTCTTTTTCTGCGACTGCTTTTCTTTTCCTGGTTTCTCGGATGATGCCGTCTTCAAAGCCTCTTCCTTCTCACGGATCTGTTGTTCCTTCTCCTTCAACTCCCGCTCAACCCCCCTGAGTTGGCTCTTGTTATACTTCCGGGGTTTCTTTTCCATCTCCCTCAACTCCGACCAGCACGAATAAGCGCTCCGCAGGAGCTCAAGATACTCTGAATCCGCGTTGTCCTTCTCTGCCGCTGCAATCTTCCGCTCCCACTCCCCCCTTTTCTTCGTTCTGCTTGATCTCCTTTTGCGCCGCTTCGGACTGGTACTGCTGCAATTTCTCCTGGGAAACATTTGGCGGCCAAACGACGGTTCCGATGGACTTTTCCGCAGAGCCAGAAGAGGTCGACGTGGTTTTCGGCAATTTGGAGCCCGTCTTAGGAGTGGCCCGGGATGCTGTCGTAGCAGGCGTGACGATTTCCGTTTCTTCTGCGAACGACACAGAGCGATTCCGATCGGCAGGCGAAGACTCCTTGCGCAGGGCAGACGTGAGCTTCTTTACCTGTTCGACGCCAGGACTCAACGCCTTGGACGGAGTATTATCATTCGGCAGGCTCAACGAGGAGCGAAGATCTGAGGGGGCGCTTTGTTGAGAGAAGACTGGTGTAGCCTGCACCGGTTCTTGAGATGAATTGAGCATCGCCGTTTTCTTTGCTTGCGGGCTTCTCGTGATACCTAGTCCCAGGCCCGGCCTGGACTGGTCCGTGGGATGCTCGCCGATACTGGGACGCCTTTGCGGACTCGAGAAAGAAGGCGCACGCTCACGTCTCCGCTGTGGCGATGAGGTGGCGGGTTGTGGCTCTGGATTCTCTGCCGTCACAAGTATCTTCCCATTTGGCCGGGTCGATGAAGGCGTGCTGGACAGATCAAGACGAGGCTCCTTCTTAGGTGCCAGATGGTCAGAGCTCTTCTTCCGCTTGCGATTCGCCGCGGCCACGAATTTCTCCGCAAATGACTCCTTCCGTTCCGTGTTGTCAATGACGACGGCGGGCGAAGTTCGCTGATTCTTAGCGACGGGCGGTGGTGAATTGGGTTCGACATCAGTCATTTCCACATCTTGGGTCTGCTGGACAGGAGGTTCAGGCTCCGGTAGTGGTTTCGACTCGGGTTCAGGAACTGGCTCTTCAGGAACTGGCGCTTCACGCACTGGCTCATCCTCTTCCTGTTCTGGTTGTTCTGGTTGCGGTGGCGCTGACGGCACCTCCTGCGCAGGTTCAGGAACCGATTCGGGAGGGGCTTGTTCCTCGACATTGACGACGAAAGGATCCTCTTCCACTACCGGAGGAAGCTGCTCCTTCGCCGGAGGTGGAACAGGAGTCGGTGAAATGCCAAGTTCCTTGCTCGCCAGACGCTCACGATCCTGGGAGTCGTGCACCAAAACGGGGGATTCGTTACCCCAGCGAGGCGGCGACGGAGGGACTTCGGGTTCGTCCCGCTCTACCGACTGTACGGGCACGTCCCGAAGCGGGATCTCGACATTGGACGACGCACCGTCGCTGGTTCTCCGCCCCTTGCTGCCGTAAGGCTCGCTCAAAGAGCTCACCGTCAGTGAATCCTTGCGCGGTTCCTCCTCGATGGTGGGAAACTTGGTAACATCCGGCTTGGTCTTCTTCTGCTTCCCCTTGATGCGCTCGTAGTCCAACGCGGCCTTGTCCCAGTCCAGGGCCACGGACGGGTAGCGGACGGGAGCGTAAGGAGTAGGTTTCTGGACGACACGGACGGTCCCTCTCTGATCGAGCCCATCAGAGCGCGCTTTGCCATTGTTCACAAAAACGTCGGCCACTGTCAAATCGGCGTCGAGATCGTCCTCGTCGTGTTCGTCGTCGAGAAGCTTCTTGATCTGGAGCGGCCTAGCCCCCATCACTGTCAGCGGCGCTATCCCATCCGTAGTTGACATATTAACTCCAATAAAGGATTTGCACTTACTCCGCATCTGGCCGTAGCTTCTTCCATTTCTCTTGTATCATGCCCGCCAGCGCGCCCAGCGTCACCTCCTCCGGGTTGTGTAGCGGGATGAGGAAGCTGACAGGCTTCCCGGCTGCGCCATTGCCATTCTTGTCGACATCCTCCTTGTTGCGGTCGCGTAGGATAGAACGGATCGAGAAGGACGAGGAGGCGGTGGGCAGTTGCTCGCGGGGGAGGACTTTGATAGTCAACCGGATGAAGACCATAGGTGGGAGGATTTGTCGGTGAATGAACGACTGTACGTGTGGGGAATCTGTTCTCTGGGAGATAAGAGACGATCAAAACTCGAGATAGATTACGATCCCAAGGTAGAAACGGGCGGTGAGAGGAGGGGCATGTCGTTGGAGTGGCAGCGAAAAGAAAGTTGAGTTGTTGAGCGCTGCGTCCGGGGTATCGCCCGACGGAGAGGGAGGTGAGGTCGGAGAAGCGATGAAACAAGAGGCAAAAAGCACGAGACACGGGACGGAAGAGAAAAGAGCAGCAAGCTATTCACCGCCCGCGAGGGTCGTGGGCTCGCAGTGAATGAGGGAGGGTGAGGTGATGGTGAGAGTCGAGCTGGACTCGTTCGTCTCGTCTCCAGGAGTTTTTGGCGGAGAAGCAGAAGCTTGGGCCAATCCGCGGCCACGACACGTCCCGCGCGCGACATCCCAATCGGGAAATCTATAAGTCTGGCCTGTCGTATACCCCGTTAAGCTTCATCTTATATATTCCGTCATCTCTTTTGCTCAGTACACCTATTCTTTCCTTGTCACTGTCCTAGACGACTCGCACTCGGTCGTCTACATGATCCTGTTCGTAGTATGTTGCTGGTCCCGGCTCATTAACTCCATGGAAGGCGACCCCACAGGCGATCCACGGTAATGCGCGATCTGATGAGCACGGTCGATGGGTTGTATTGTGTATAGAAGACAAATTCGTAAGATGCATAGGATAGTATTATTTATATTCATTCGTTCATTGATGGTCATATACATACAACCTGTCCGCCAGAAGAAGTGAACCGGGATAACCCAGCAGAATATGCATGCAATATGCACGCAATTCATATATAGCCTCGTGTATGGCACGAAATTGAAACTACAATCCGCCAAAAAACCTCTCAATCTGCTCCCCCACCCAGGCAGATCGCTCTTTGATCTCAGCCACCGTGCGAACGCCCTCCTCGCAGACGTACGCGTCGAATCCGTTAATCATCTCCGGCTGCACCCATTCAAAGTAGATATTCTTCACCGAGACGGTGGCTTTGCCGTCTTCTTGCTGCTGCGCCTGCGTCTTCAACGCCTCGTCGATCACGTTCACCCCCTTCACACCGCTGTGTCGCCATGCCTGGATCACTTCCTCCGGGTTGTTCTCCTCCACGACGTGCGAGTGCGGGTCGCCTGGTTCGGCCACCTTCTCCAACTCGCTGAGGACCACTACCTTTGTCGACGGAGAGACGCAGCGTGCACTCAGGATGGCTGGCAATGAGCCCGTCTTGTTGCTGACGGCGCCGTCCGCGGAGATGCGGTCTGCGCCCAGCAGGAGGATATCCACGCCACCAGACGCCAGAGCCGCAGACGCATCTGTGTAGATACTGACATGGATGCGAGGAGCGTTGGGCTGAGAGCGGAAATCAGACAGGATCGCCGACGCGACGCTGACTCCTTCGTACAGGGGCCGAGACTCCAGGACGCGAAGATCGACGAATTGAGCGTTAGACGAAATGGCTGCGTGGACGATGCAGTCGCGGATGGTAGAGCTAGCAGAGAGCGTCAAGATGGTCAAAGACGAGTCCTCTTTCCTGTTGAGAACATTTCTCTGGATGTAGGATGCAAACGCGTCGCTGATTCGCGCAGTCGTAGACTTGCGCTTCTCGATAAGCCGGTCGATCGCGGCCAGAATCGGGTCCCTCTTATTATTCTCCTTTCCCTCAGTGTCCAGTACTATCGGCTCAATATCGACCAGCGCAGCGATCAGCGCGTTCAGGATCGGCGCGCCCATGCTTTCTCGTCCGTTCTTCCAGAGATGCCACGCAGCCATTCGTGCCTTCTCCCACCAGGCTTCACTATTACCACCATCCGGCCCGCCCATTTCCGCTACCGTCTCTCGAAACACCCCCAGGGCGATGGCAGCCAGTTGTCGTGAACCACTCTCGTGATCGGCCTGCAATCGCTCCAATCCAGCCGCCAACGTCCGACCAGCAGCGGATTGTGCACCAAAATCGCCCTCGAACCAGACCCGTCGCAGCGACTCCTTCAACCGGGGCACTCCGCCAAAAGCCTCCTCGTCGTCGACAGCAACGACAGCATCGGGATCATGCCACTCCCAACCTTCATGCTCCCAGTCCGTCTTGATGCCTTCCTCGTCCTGGCCACCTTCCTCTTTACTCTTGAGACGAAAAGCAAACGCGTAGATGGTCCATTCACGGCCGACAGAGGGATCAGCGAAAGAATACTCTTTGCCCTTGCGGAAGAACGTCACGGAGGACGAAGTAAGCGTCGTCTCTTCTTGGATCTCGCGCCACGCCGTCGCCAGGGGGTTCTGGTCGTTGGGATCAATACTCCCTGAAATGGGAGCCAGGCGGTGGCTATTAATAATCGATTAGATTCAGATTAAATAAAAGGTAATCCATGACATAAATCGGGGGCAATGGCTGGAAAACTTGCCGATATGTACTCACTAGCCCGCTCCGCCGGAAGAGGGCCACGAGAGGCTTCTTTCCGTCCCGTGTTGATGATGCGGATGGACCCCCGTCAGGAAACTTGAACAGAAACGACGACACAACGGCACGTTTCTTCAGTGGTTTGTCGTGCTGTTGCTGAGCCGGTTGCGGCCCCTTCTGCTCGGTATTCGACATTGTTCCGCCGTCAATTTTTCGTGACCGGCTGTACCAGCGCACGGTGGCTATGGGGAAGGCCTTTCTTCTACTCAATCCAGAGAAGCTTGTCGAAGCCGTTTCCAGTCGAAGCATGCATGCATTGTCCTTATAGTGTTGTGTTAACGCGAACACTGCAACTCAAAAGATCTTTGTCTGGCGGTAAGAAAAGTGCTCTGCGCGTTCTTGCGTCACAACACATTACATCATGTGGGGCAGCGATAACGATAAGAATTGCCCAAGTCATCGACACTGCAGTATCACAATACTGTAATAACAGTTTCTATTTCCTCTTTTTTTGTATACCAGAATGCTCGTATTATATTTACAAGCAATACCCCAGGTTGCATATATATATATATATATTACTCGACTAGCCAATTGACCTCGACATTCAAAGCAAAAGAGGACAGCACACGCAGTGCTGTATAAATAAATCCAGCCCGAGTTGCCCACTGAAGTAGTAAAAGTTTATCATACGGGAGTAGATGCAAGCAAATCCAATTACATTGGATACTATCGTGAGCCAGCCACCTAATACACGAATGTAGAAGAAACATCAAACAAAGCACCAAGATCCAGCATGCAGGTCAACACTGTTGAACTCTCGCCAATGTACTGTACCAGACATGAACCCTGCTCCGAATAGAAAAAAAGAAAAAAAAAAGATCAGACATCGCTACACACATCACGATCATATCCCATAATATATCTCTATTATACATCATTCCCACAATGCCAAGTGCTCATAACAAGTCCGGCGCGGTAAAGTACCGCTTGAACCGCTCTACCTTGCACAGATCCAGCTGCACGGCCACTCGGTGGCAGCTCATCAGCAGACTCGGGAACCGCACCGCCCAGAAGCGGAGATAGCCCTCTGGCAACCCGCCAATGTGTGCCTTGAGGTGCTCCGGCATGTCGTTGTAGTGGTTGCGCTTGTTGCGCAGCGCCCGCAGGAGGTCAAGCATCTTCGACCCCGTGTACTTGCGCTGCTTGCCCAAGCTGTCCTTGAAGTCCTTGGGTAAGAACTTCAGGAAGTCCATGTCAGGGCCCATCACATCCGGAGCAACTGATTCCAGGCAGAGTAAGGCAGGGGACGGTGGATCTCGAGGTTCGAACTCGAAATGGTCGGACATGTCGCAGAGGAAGCTCAGCCGGTCGGCAGCTGACCAGAAGAATGGATGCATGAGGACAGTAGTCGCATCGGGCCTAAGACAATCAGAACATGTTATTTACAAAAAGATGGAGAGGAAAGGAATAAACTCACCGTTGACGCGGATCCAACGACAGCATGCGGCGAATGAGGTCGTCCGCCTCAAAAGCATAGTCGCCCAGGCGTTGCAAATCTTCCAGATTGTGATTACCCTTGACAATATTGGCCTCGCGCATAAACTTGCCGTCTTTGTCGTACGGATGGCCGCCGCGTGTAAGGACGTAGTAGAAGACACAACCCAACGAGAAGATGTCAATCGCCCGTGTCGCGCGTCGGTTGGTCTGCGGATCCACGACCGCAGGCTCAGACGACTCGGTATGCTGGGACTCGGTAATTGGTCCGTTGGCCGTCGTGGAGGGTTGCTGGTCGTCATCCACGAGCAATTCCGGGGCCCGCCATCCAGATGTCCCCGCGGCATGCGCAGTTGTGGCCCGGAATGAGCTCTGGTTATCCTCCAGCTTTTTGCAGAGGCCAAAGTCGGAGATTAACATCCTCAGAGGGGGATGCTTGCTAAACGCACGACCACGCGGCGCAGCCACCAAGATGTTCTGCGGTTTCAGGTCGCGATGGACAATCTTCAGCGAATGCAGATAGCGAACCCCGGCGGTGATCTGTCGCAGGATGTCGGGAACATCCAATCCGCCATTCACGAGCTGCGGGTAGTCACCAGGCCTTTCGATCAGGTCCTGCAGCGACGCGGGACAGAGCTCCAGAGCGATGTACAGGAAGCCGGCCGCCTGCTCACGGCAGTAGTAACGGATCACGTTGCTGTGGTCATCGCTCTCTTGCAGCAAGCCGACCTCATGGGAGGCGATATCATAGAACTCGACCAGCATCCGCTTCACAGCGACATCGCGTCCGTCAAACGAGCCCTTATACACGACAGTGCCGTGGCTGCCATGGCCCAGGACCGTGTCCGTGAAGACCTTGAGTTGACCAATCCTGATAGCACCGTCCACCTCGACGATCTCGTTGGACGCCGTGCGCGCCAGTTGGATGTCCGGTTCGAGTTGCGAAGGTGGTGTGAGAGTCTTGATCTGGTCGACAATCCGCTCCACACCTCCCTTTGCATTTCCATCTGCCTCTGCAGTTCCAGGCTTTGGTTTCCGCTTGTGCGCCTGACCACCCCGCCGACCTCTCCGGGCTTTCTTTTTCTTTTCCTTCTCAGGCTCCTGTAAGGGTGCTTCCTCCGCATCCTCGTCTTCAGCCTTGCCATCTCGCACCTGCGACGGCTCGCGAATTCGCACTTTGGGAGTGGCATCCGGGGCGGGACTAGGGGATGCCTGTCGAGGCGGCCGCGGTGTCGATTGGCCGGGATCGTCAACATCTGCTGCGTCATCCGGGCGCATGCCAGCCTTCCGTGGGGTTTCCAGTTCAGGGCGAACATCCGCGGCTGGGGCTGGACTCGGCTCCCGCTTGATCGAGGAAGACGGGACGCCAACGACTGGGGATGACGGCGGGGTGGACAATGGCTGTCCGTACGCAGCAATGATGTTCTTGAGGTCGAGCTTCTGCTTCAACAACTCCTGCAAGTGATGTGAATTGAAGTAGACGAACAAACCGAGGAAGAGGAGGACGAGTGTCACGAAGATATCGAGGGCATTGTCCCAGCCCTTGCGGATGATGACGCTGTTGCGCAAGGCCGGCGGCGAGATCAGGTGGGATGGCGGCCGAGCGACCTCGCCGGGAGTGTCGTTAGACAGCTCTGACGCCGACGAGGGGCCCGAGATGCTGTGGATGGTCGGCCGGCGACCGCGGTCACGCACGGGCCGCTCGTTCAGAGAATGGACCCCTGCGAGGGCCTCGCGCTGACGGGCGAGATCAAGGCTCAGGAGCGACTGACCGTCCTGGAAGAAATCCTTCTCGTAGCATTGAGCCATGGCGGCACGGCCAGTGACCAGCGGGTAGGTAGCTTCGGACATAGCATACCAGCCACCGGCATCAGTGCAGTCAATGTAGACTCGCTGCTCCATATCCGGTGTGGTCGCGTAATCGGGATCTGGCGGCTCCAGCGGCTGCGAGAGGAGGACGAGAGGGGTGGGTTGGTCTGGATTATCCACGTTGATCGGGCGGGCGACGTCGAAGACGCGGACGACCGGACTGGAGAAGCGCTGGGTATATCGGGGCCGCTCCATGCGCGAGTGATCAAATCCCAAAACGACACCGTCGTGCATGCTGTAGATGTGGCTCTGGTCCATGGTGCGATAGTATTGGCTCTGCAGATCCATGTCGCGGTTGTTGGCGGCCCATTCCGAGTACTTGAGGGTGCAGATCGGGGCGCCCGTCTCGGTGTTCTGGATGGCGACGGCGTACTCGATGCGGCCAATGGTGAGGGTACCGGTCGTGGGCTCGCAATTGTCCTCATCGTCTGAATCAGCAAGACGGTCAACTGGACGGCAGCTTTGCTCGGGCGTGATGGGACCGCGGGAGCTGAAGACGCGGAGAATGTTTCCGGTGCGAGCATCGACGGTGTAGAGGGTGGTCTCCTTGCGCGCGGTGTAGGTGACGGCGGGATCGGTTCCGGAATAGGGGGTCTCATCGACGAGATCCTTGACGGTCAGACCCAATTTCTGGAGGCCTCCGTTGGGCCCCGGACTGTAGATGTAGAGGTTGCCGTCGCGACTGGGTTCGACGATCCAGAGAAAATCGTCTTCGGGAGTGGAGGAGGAGTCGGAATCCAAGCCGGACGCAGATCGATTGGCACGGTGATAGATGCTTTCCACCATCGGACTGCTAGGCACTTCGAGCGCCCAACGGGGAGCCCCGGTTTTGCGGTCCCGAGCGTGAATGGTACCGTCGACGGTCGCCAGCAGGACAAAATCCTCAACCTCCCAGTCCTGCAAGGACCGCGCTTGGAGCTGCGGCACCAGACCGGCAGAGTGACTGCTGGGCTGGGCAGGAGGGGCTCGAACGGCGCGGCCATCAGAGCCCGCCAGAGCCAGAGTTGCCAGGGCGCTCACATCGTTATCCGGATTCCCCTTCTTCACGTCCGGAGGAGCATGGGGGTACGTGTGTCGGAAGTACGTATTGGGAGATTCGTCAAGAACTGAATGACCGGTTGGGCCCGGGGCCAGCGATACGGAGGACGACACGATCCCGTCATGGTTCTGGGAGTCGAGTCCGCGGGCCAGGGACAGCTGCTGCGGAGCTGTTAACAGGAGGGAGGGGAGGAGCAAGACGCCGGCCGGGAGCGCGGTGGTTCTCGATGTGCCGGGCAGTTTCCACCGCATGGTGCAGAACAATTAAGTCGAGAAAGCAAAGAGGCGGAACTCGTTGCAGATGAGGACGGAAGTCATCTCATGGAGAAAATGCGGCTGTGTGCGTTAAACCGGGGATAAGGGAGAGGACGAGGTCCAGCAGACCCCGGAGGGGGAAGACGGCACCAAAACGGAAGAAAGGGGAAGAACGGAATCGAGGAAAGAAACAACAAGGAAAAGAAAAGGTGCAGAAGAAGACAATGCACGAGAGATCGAGGGTCTGCAGAGGAGAAGGTGGCAGAGAAGGGGATGAGATGGCAGAAGCGACGGTGAGACAGCGGGCTGCGGCTGGGGCTGCCAAGTCGAACAGTGTCGAATCGCCGATTGGCGGCCTGAGGCGACGGCCCGACACAACGTTGGCCCGCACAGCAGCAGCTGAACTCGTGCACTTGATACAGAGTAGATCACTGTGAATATTATTTACTGATGGGAAGAGATAATTTCAATTGATCTCTCTGTTCAACTCGTGCTCGTGTTCCACCCGGCTGTGAGCAAACCAGTCGCTGCATTCCAAATGCCAGCTGACGTATGCTGCTTATGTCAGCGTTGCATGCACGAGACTGCGCGAAACAGGCAGCCACAAAAGAGACGCAAACCCCAAAAGGGCAAAACGCACTCTCGCTTGATCCAACAGGAGCACAAAAAGGCTCGATTTACGGAGCCATCGTGGTGTCACCGTTGCCATCAGCAGATGGCCGTTATTCTTGACCCATCTGAGGACCCAGCTGGTCGAGTCTAGACGCTCTCTGCCGGGTTTCAAGCGAAAGGGCAGATCTCCACTCCCTCCGGAATATATACTCCATACCGTCCCACCTGTATTATTATCGTCGTCCACAACAATAATGCCAATTCAAGACGCAATGCGTTGGGATATTTCTCACAAGGGATAACTAAATCCCAGGATATTATCTTATCTACAATGCAGTGCTCACAAATTGCCAGTAATCCGACCCAATTCATTCATACGACCGGACAGCAATGGACCAGCCAAGAACAAACCACTCAGAAAACAATACCATCCCACCACAAGACCCAACAAGAAATCCAATATATCGTACACACATAATGACTCCTTTGCTCACCGTTCCTTGAGCATCCACGCCGCCATCCCGATCCACCCCGTCGCAAACGCAAAAGTGAGGACGCCCGCGCCCACGCGGTCCGCCGTGGTGATCGGAGAGAAATGCGGCCCAAGGCCCTCGTCCGCACTGCTACCGGTGCCGGCGCTGGGATCGCTGGTGCTGTTGCCGCCCGTCGACGAGGTCAAGGGCGCCTGGTTTTTGGCGCCGCTGCCCTGCGGCTCGAAGGCCGCCAGCGTGTTGGCGAAGATGCTCAGCGTGCTCATCTGCTGCTCCAGCCCGTCGGTGCCGTCCCACGTCGGGTTGTACCACTGCATGCCGCAATGCTTGCCGTCGCTGAGGCCGGTGCACTGTTTGCCCGCCGCCTGCGCTGTAAGCTTCAGCTTCTCGATGATCGGTCCCGCCGTGTAGGGAGCCAGAAGCGTGGTGAAGGCGAGCCACGACGACAGGAAGCCTTTGAAGAGGATCTCGTTGCGGTTGCAGTTCTTAGGGGCATCGCAGGGCTCGACCATGACCCCGCCGTACTGCTGCGGGAAGAAGTTCTTCCAGATGGTGCCCAGCAGCCCGTCGATGCCGGCCTTCCACTTGGGGTCGCCATTGGTCTGGAGCCATTAATTAGTGATTTTCGCCGGGTACAGACCTCAGGGCCACGCAACCTACCAGGTTGTACATGTAGACCGCCCCCATCAGGTACGTCCCATAGTTGTAGGTCCACTGGTCATCATCGTGATCCGTACACCCGGACGGGAAGGTCGTGCTGTCGGCGATGTCCCAGGTTTTGGTGTTGAGCAACGGCGTCGTGGCGCTCCAGTCCCAGATGATATTCGCCCAGTCAGCATAGGTCTGGTTGTTGGTGTAGCGCGCCAGGCGGGCGGCCAGCTGGAAGAGCCCGCCGTTGGAGATGGCGTTCTTCTGGTTCCAGCCCGCCTGGTAGCTCCATATCTGCCAGTGCAGGCCGCCATTGCACGAGGTCTTGTCCCAGCGCGGGACTTGGGTGTTGAAGACGGCCTGCGCGAGGGACAACCACGACGGCTTGCCATCGACCTGGGGGTAGTTGAGCTCGGCGGCCGTCATGGCCGCCAGGCCCCAGAACATCTGGTCATCGTTTCCCTGCAGGCCGTCATCTATCAGATCCTGTACACCGGGTGGACAACGGGACGGGATCGACATACCAGATAGCTCGAGTAGTTTGACGGCATGTAGTCATAGTTCTCTCCCGCCTGCCAGTACATCCCTGTTTGGGTGATGTCGTTGTACGAGTTATCTCCCGTCCAGTGCCAGTACTGGATGAGAGTCATGAACATGGCGCCGCCTTCCCACCAAGTGCCCGATAGTTTTCCGGGGATCTGACCGCTCTGGTTGCCACTGTAGTAGGAGACCATGTCATAGGCAGCAGCAGAGGCGGCCTGTTTGAAGGAATTGGGGTCATCGGGAGAAATATCTATCGCCCTAGCGACCTGCGTCGTGAGCAGGAGCTGCAATAGCAGGATCAGGCGGCCAAGATACCCCATCCTGGTGGCGATGATGGCCGACAAAAGATGCGATCGAAAGACGCGACAAGGCAGCGACCCCGGCGAGCATCGAAATGAGAGACGAAAAGAGAGCAAGGGCACAAAAATTCAAAAGAACGAACGGGTGGGAATGCAGAATGGGGTGGTGAGGAGGACATGTGGACAGGACTGGGAGGGAACCAAGGGACCAACGAGGTACGAATATAGGCGATAACAATGACTTCAGCGTCAGGCGGGCCGCATGGATGAACCATCGTCCAGGACGGCAGTCAGGCAGTCTCCCAGCGTTACACCTGCAGGAGGCCCGGAGATCAGAAGGCAGTGCAAGCCAAGAAATGACAGGGAAGGGCATCCTGTTGAGCAATCAGAAGAGAGCTCCATCGACAGAGCAGCAAGCTTCAAGTGGACGATAAACACGCCAAGAAGTTGAACCAGGCTGAGTGCGGTGGATGCCGTGGGCCACAGTGGAGAACGGCGATTGTGATCCGATGTCAACGATCCTATAACAATAGTACAGAGTACTTTACACAGAATCATCTTCACTCTATATAGATTGTGCTTCTATCTTAGACTTATCTCTACAATCACGACTTGAAGACCGTACCTGTCCAATCTGTCTGATTCGACCCAACTGCTACAGATGTAATCTGTATGGGCCCTGTGCCTTCTTCTTTCAGCCCCACGGCAAACCCACTGATCGTCTGCCCCAGGTTCTCTCTCAGCCGGACTAGACCCATGCGGCAACGCGCATCTGTCTACAGTCAACACTCTCCTGAATTGTCTGTACGGAGTACAGAATACAAATCCCAGCAGCTGCGTTCCTTAAGGAATCTCTCCTCTGTGCATACTCGAACAATACCAGACGGGTTGTATTGCGGGGAAGACAAGCTCCTGTCAACGGCGGCTTTCGAGTCTCACGCGTGCTCTGTCATTGTCGACGCAAGGCTTGGCGGTCGTTCTGTTTGGTTTGGTTTCACAATTCCAGAGCCCCCACGATCGACTACTCACTGCCCAGTATATGGCCGTCATTCCGCGCGTATAAAGAAATGACTAGCTGATTAGTAAGCTGTAGCGATGTTGGAAACTTTGCGTCAGTTATTTTGTTGTGAATTTTTTGTTTGTGGAACTTGATTCTCCACTTACTGTCACTGTCAAAGCTGTATAACGATCATCGCGATCGGATCCATGGTCCACTATGGACAGAGACCGGAACAACATTAACCCGTAGACACGTGGTAGCCTGAGGCAGAAACTAGATGAGAGCTACACTATAGATGGCAGCAGAAACATCGCATAGCAAGTCTGCCACAGTGGAAATAATCCACGAATGAAGACAATCATAGCCAAATCATATACGGACCATCAATTCAATTGAAGGTATATACGACAGTAAAGACTACTCTTCCAGACGAATCAGTCAAATGCAGGAATTTATTATCTGTTTGCCTACACTGCGTGCAAGAGAGTCGCTGCCAACGCTCTCATCCAGCAGGTGGCATCTAAACTTGAAAACAAAACATCAATTACGCTTTTATGGCTTCCCCTCATCAATCTACTCCGCTTTGCATTCGTAGAAAGAGAACCACTGAGAATGAGTATACTGCAGATAAAATAAATAAATTGGTTCTCGAGTTCACCGTCCTCTTTCATCGTGTCTTCCCCTCAAACTGCCCGAGAGGAATCATCATTCTATCTCATTTGCTTAGAATGTTTTTTCTTTTTGCTTATGTTCTTTCCTCACACGCGTTCACGCTTCCGGGGAGCGGCTCGGATAATGTTGTCCACCCGCAGCAGGAGCTATCATCACGTTAGTACATCGCCCGCAGCAGTAAAGAAATCAAAGGAGAGGAACATACTTCAGCAGCTTCCGCGGCTGACGACACCACAGCCCTCTTCAGCTTGTAGCTCTCCACCACCCCCAACTCCTGCATGTCCGCAATTCCACCTCCCGGCGTCAACAGATCCAACCCCGAGTTGGTCATCCCCCGGTTGATCGCCTGGCGCAGTCGCGTCACCAGGTCGCTCGAGTCCAGACCGGCGTTGTCCGCCAGAATCGTCGGCAGCTGCTTCAGGGCCGTTGCAAAGGCATCCACCGCCAGCTGCTTCTTGCCCGTCGTGTTCTGCGCCGCCTGCTCGACCGCCTTGGCCATCACCATCTCCGCACATCCGCCGCCCAGGGTCACCTTGGGCTCCTTGACCGTCTGCGAGAGCACGGCGAGTGCATCGTGGAGGGACCGCTCCGCCTCGTCGAGCAGCTGCTCGGTGGCGCCGCGGAGCACGATCGTGCATGCCTCACCAGCGGCCACGCCGGAGAATTTGATCAACGTGTCTTCGCCAATGATGATCTCCTCAATCAGGTCGCAGTGGCCGAGTTTCACCTGCTCCGGGTTGTCGAACGTCGATGCGATCTCACCTCCTGTCACCAGAGCCAGCCGCTCCACACCGTCAAAGTCGGCATGCTCGATGGACACGATGCCCGCTTCGGTAAAGAGCTGCTCCGGCCAGTTGTAAATCAGCTGCCGGTTGACAAAGCAGTTAATGCCGTGTGCCTTAATCCGTTCCACTTTGGCGCGCATCTTTTCACGCTCGGCCTTCTCCAGCTCCGCCAGCTTGCCCGTCGAGTCGACCTTGACTCGGGCTCCAAAGATCTTGACCTTATCCGTATCCATGGCCGTGTTGGCGACCAGGATCTTGGCATTCTCCAACCGCTTCGGCTGATTTACTCCGAATTTCTTGTCCAGGATGAAACCCTCGTCCAGGTAGGAGTCGCTGAGTTTGCCACCGGGCTTCTTGATGATCTGGATGTGGCTCAGGTCAGTTGAGCCCTTCAGACGGAGCACTGCATCACACGCGAGGCTAGCGAAGTGGTCCCGGTCCTGAGCCAGGACCTTGGAGCTGAGGGTGGTGCGTGCAATCGCGTGCAGGTCCCTGCGGAACGCCACAGGGTCGTTGCTGTGGTCCACGGCGGCATTTGCCAGAGCATCGAGGGCAGCACGGCTGGCTATCCGGTATCCTTCGATGATGGTCTGAGGGTGTATCTTCCGGTCCACCAACTTCTCGGCCTCCCGTAGCAGCTCCGCCGCCAGGACGGTCACAGACGTCGTTCCATCGCCAACCTCGTCATCCTGCACCTTGGAGATGTTGACCAGCACCTTGGCGGCCGCGTTGTCCAGTGCAATCGCCTTGAGAATCGTAGCGCCATCATTCGTGACCAGAATCTCTCCTGTTGATCTGTTGTCACCGTAGACAATCAGCAAGCGAAGTCCACAACCACACACAGTAGAAATCACCCCGCTCCAGCTCTCTCATGGTGCACATACGCAGACTGCAAGATCTTGTCCATTCCCTTCGGGCCCAGAGTGCTCTTCACCAAATCTCCCACAGCGATAGCACCCACAAAGGCTGACAGCCGCGCATTCTCACCCTTCTCTTCGGTGACATCTTCGGCGAAGATCTGGGTGGGGTTTTGGAAGTTGGGGGCAGCCTGTGGGTAGTCAGATGTGCCAGACTTAGAGGATGAGTTTTGCGGACGAACCATGATGCTTGAGCTCAATACTGCGACAGAAACCCCTTAACAAGATTCGAGCAGCCAGGTGGGAGTCGACACGCTGCGACAGTCTCGCTGGTTCTGTTGCTGGTGCCGGCGGCGAGGAGAAAAGTTGGGTTGGGATGTGGCCCGAGCTTCTCCGCTGGTTAGTCTCCGAGACAGAACGGCAACGCAGAGTGGCAGACACGCCTAGACCAACGTCCGATTCTTCGTGTTGAGTCTCACCCAGTTGGTTTTCTCGCAATCAAGACCAGGAAATGGCTGCGACTGAGGATACAGCCGACGCCCAGTCCAACAAAAGGCCATTGTCTGACGTGGAAGGGGAAGATACCCCCGTCGAAAATGGTTGGTTCGATGTCCTGTCCACCAGTCGCAGAGTATACGACCAGACACTGACGGCCTGCAGAAGCAGAATCCTCGTCGGACGATGACTTTGGACCGGCCCTCCCTTCGGCAGCGCCCAAGAAGAAGCGACGGAAGCTCGCCTTTGAGAAAGTCTACGTGAACGCGCTGCCGGCCTCGCCTCGCTACTCCCGCTCGCTGATGCACCGGGAGCAGCTGTCCTATGTGACCATGACGCCGCAGACGGACTTTCTGATCACCAGCTCTGTCGATGGCGTCGTCAAGTTCTGGAAGAAGATGGCTGTGGGCGTCGAGTTTGTCAAGGAATTCCGCGCTCATGTCGGGGAGATCACCGGCACCAGCATCAGCGCGGACGGGAGGAGTTTTGCCACGGCGGGCGTGGACAAGACGATCAAGATATTCGATGTGATCACATTTGGTACGTCTACGTCGCCGAATTGCATTGCACTCGTCTATGCCTGCTTTGTGTATTCTGGTTCGTGATCCAGTAACTAACTGCTGACACTGGCAGATCTTCTGGCCATGCTTACGTTGGACTTCACTCCACGCTGCGTCTGCTGGGTGCACCGGCGGGGAGCGTCAATACCATTGCTAGCTGTGACAGATGAAGCGAGTAACAAGATCTTTATCTACGACGGCAGAGGAGAAAACCCCAATCCGTCGCATACTCTGACGTCCATCCATCGCAAGCCGGTCGTGGCTCTGGCTTTCAACAATGCCTACGACTGCGTGGTCTCGGCCGATGAGGCCGGCATGATCGAGTACTGGCGGCCTTCAGACGGCTTCGAGAAGCCGGACAACGTGTTCCAGCTCAAGTCGTCGACGAACCTGTTCGAATTCAAAAAGGCCAAGTCGGTCCCCTACTCGATCACGATATCCCCGTCGGGCCACCAGTTCGCGACCTTCTCATTTCCCGACCGCCAGGTGCGCGTCTTCGACTTCCCGACCGGCAAGCTGTATCGCACATACGATGAGTCGCTGGCGACCATCATTGCCATGCAGCAGGCGGGCACAGCGCTGGAGCGGTTGGACGAGCTCGAGTTCGGACGGCGACTTGGCGTGGAGCGCGAACTGGAGAACCCAGTGACGCGGCCGAAAGTCAATGTGATCTTCGACGAGTCGGGCCACTTCATTCTGTATGGCTCCCTGCTGGGCATCAAGTGCATCAACACGTTCACGAACCGCGTCGTGCGGGTGTATGGCAAGGACGAGCCGTTCCGCGCCTTGAACCTGGCCCTGTACCAAGGCCAACCGCAGAAGAAGGGCGTGGTGACGGTCTCGATGGCCGCTAGCCAGAACCCGCTGCTACAGGAGGCCGAAGAGCGCGACCCGACGCTGATCAGCACAGGCTTTGGCAAAGCGCGCTTCTACATGTTCACCAACGAGACGGAGATATCCAAGAGCTCGCGGGACGTGCAGAACGAGAAGCCACGGCAGACGGCCGAAGGGGCGGAGCAGGGCAAGACCAAGCCGACCGAGTCGGGCACGTCGGCGATCCTGCACACGACCATGGGCGACATCCACCTGCGGCTGTTCCCCGATGCAGCGCCGAAAGCGGTGGAGAACTTTGTGACGCACGCGCGCAACGGATACTACAACAACACCATCTTCCACCGGGTGATCCGCAAGTTCATGATCCAGGGCGGCGACCCCAACGGCGACGGGACGGGCGGCGAGTCGATCTGGGGCGGAGAGTTCGAGGACGAGTTCTCGTCGCTCAAGCACGACAGGCCGTACACGCTGTCGATGGCGAACGCGGGGCCCAACACGAACGGGAGCCAGTTCTTCATCACGACGGAGAAGACGCCGTGGCTGGACGGCAAGCACACGATCTTCGGCCGGGCCGTGGCCGGGCTGGACGTGGTGCACAAGATCGAGAACGTCAAGACGTACAAGGAAAAGCCGGAGGAGGACATAAAGATTGTCAGCATTACTGTGTCGTAGCATGTACTAGACGAGCGAAGCGAGTCGTTTAAGGCTTGTGTATCTAGTAATGAATAGTAAATAAGTCAACGACTCGTCAGGGCCATCGAAGACTGCATTCTAACATAACCAAGGCAGTAGTAATTCATTAAAGAGTAGTAGAAAAGAATGAGGGATTGTCCTGCTGTTTACTATATATATATACGGAGTATATACGACTAGAGAACAATGAAGAATCAGAGAATCAATGAGACGGTGACTAGGGAGATATATATATTGTCAGCATTAAGGAGACGCAATCTTGCTGCGAGCCGGGACAATGAATATATATAAAAGCAACTGACTTACTTCTATTGAGTCTGGTAAGCAAGAAATAAATAAATGGTAGGTAGGTATTATTAGGTGATGGGAATACTCGCGAGGTATTATTATGTTTATTTTATTGTGGGCGTCAGTAGGTACCTACTACCTATACCAATCGAGCTACTGTCTCTTACTTAGCACTTAGATCCAATTCTTATAAATGGTTTTCCTATTCCAGAACGCAACGTATCGAGTCTACGTACTATATCTATATCGATAGGTAAGTATGCAAATATATGTGCCGGCACTCCCCTACTGGAATATACCGTACGTATTTGTCTGTTAGAATCCACACTCACCTCTCTCTGAAACAAAGAACGATCCAGCCGCGTCGTCGTTCATTGAATGCAATAAAGAACATCACATGTAATCAAAGAAAACTCCCCTTAGTAGGTATATGTAATCTACGGAGCACTGTCCTGAAACAGCCAGAACAAAGAAAAAAAAATCTTCATTCAAACAAAGAGGGCTTCTAAGAGCTTTGGGGGTAGGTATATATACTCTACCGCCCCCACGTTCCCTCCCCTGGTCATTCATTTATATACCACCAAGTTTCATTCTCGTCTACCACGTCGTCGTCGAGAGCTACCTCCCTACCTAAGGCTACCTAAGCTATATCATAAATACCTATCTCTACTCTTACTCTGTTTTCTTTGCGTCAGACAGACAGACAGACAGACCTACGAACGAAATGCCTTCTATCCACGAAACGACTCTTCTTCAAGAAGAACAAGAAACGTGTCTTCTCACGCACATCGCCGTCCATCGACGACGAACGCGAACGCGAACACGAACCTGTCTATGGACAAAAACAAAAATGAGGAAGAAAAGAAACGACGAGAAGGAATCTGATAGGGAGATTGGTTGTACGATACAGTAGTACTGTATGTATTGTACAGTACTCTATGTACCTAGGGTGGTAGGTTTTGTTTTGCCTTCCCCCTCTCTCTCCTCTCTAGATATCTACCTACTGTCCATGGGGTGGGTGTGCTATCTACCTACTGTTTACTGTTGACTGTTTCAATTCGTCCGGTTTCACACTTCTTTCGTTTTGATTTTTTTTCCCCCCCTTTTTCATTCCGGACTCTTAGCTATCTGTATGTACATACAGTTCAGCTGCTTCAACCCGCATACCTGATAAGCATGCCATGCCTCATGATCAATGAAATTGATCGATGGAGACTAACCAAATGAAACAAAATGAAACGAGATCCATATCTCAGCCACATGGGTATTATTATTATCTCTGTGATTATTGATTGCTCCCTTCTTCCAGCCACATGCATGTTCTTTTCCCTTCGATGCTCGCAAAATCTAGATGATGATGACGATGATGATTCCTGCCATTAATTAATTTTCTTCCTCTTCAAGATTCAGAACGCCGTACGCCAGTCCAAACCCAAACCCAGACAGACCCCGCAATGCTTCCCCCTTGCATACCCGTCGAATGCGGGCCGAGACACGAACGAGAACGAGACAAAAGAACCACACGACACGAAAGGAAATCGACTGAGACGATCAGTGGGTTCAATTCACTAGTCGACCGTTCGACCAGCTGATAATCTATTCACTGGACGACTCCTTTTGCGACTTCGTTCCTGAACTGGATGCTACGCCACTGTTCCGAGCTGTCGCCGTCCGGGGAGATCCCGGCGCTGGTCCAGTCCCGACAAGCGTATTCGCGCTGGACACTTCCGTCCGTGAACTGCTGGCGACAAAGCTCGGGGCGTCAACAGGGGCAATGTCGATTTCGCGCATGTGTGCCGTCGCCTGGTGAGGACCCCACATCTCCGGACGGGAGATTGCAGAACCGGACGCGCCGGGCGAATTATTATTATTATTATTGTTGTTGTTGTTGTTGTGGTTCGAGCCGAAAAGAAACCCGGCCGACGAGCCCTTGCCAGGCTGGCCGAGTCCGCTGTCTTCGCCGTGGTAGAGACCCTGGTGTTTGTCGTCGTACCGGCGCTTGAGCCACATGCCCACGATCGCGATGGTGGTGAAGCCGATAAAGAGAACGATGAGCATCACAACCCACCGCCAGTGGGTGGCGATCCTGTAGGAATAACACACGTCAGCAGAGATCCTTGACGAAGGGCTCGAGAGGAGACCGACCAGCTCGGCGGAGCAGGGTTCGCGTTCACCGTGGTCGACGTGGTCGCTGCCGCGGCAGCAGTCGTTGTTGTCTGGGTGCCAGCCCCAGCATTCCCCCCAGAGCTGCAATAGTTATTGTACCATGTCATCAACAATTGGCGGTCGGACTCGCTGGTGCAGAAGCTATCGCACACGCTGTCCGGGGTCGTGTGGAGGGAGGTGAGCAACGCCGACTGGCAGAAGCAACTGACGTAGGTCGCTTGATTGGAGACGGGAGCCGCAGGAGGCACACATCCGGACTGTGCCTGTTGAAGCGTCGTACAGGAGAGGGCACAGGCGGGGAAGGTGGACGAGGCTGCGGTGGGCAAGAGGTGGACATCCTGAGCGAGGGCGGGGGAGAGAGCCCATGTGGAGAGAAGGAGGAGCACGGTAGGAAAGGAGATGGAGGAGAAAGAGACGGACACGCTGGTCGTCGGCCGCGGAGGAGGTCGAGCTTCCATGACGGGGTGTTTCGGACCAGGCGGGATAGGAGAGTCGAGAACGAGGAGAGACACAAGGAGAGTGGAGGATGGACGAGGAAGTCTCTCAGGGAGAGACCATCTTCAGGGACGAGCAACGAACGACAGACAGGCCCCAGACAGGGCCAGAGAGACGGCGATAAAGGGGGGAAATGAAGTGGTAGCGAGCGTTGGGCTGGCGGAGTGCGGAGATTCGGCAGAAGTGGAAGTGGAAGACTGGAAGTCTGGAAGTGGGCGAGCACAAAGTTTCCTCGCCGAGTCGGACGCGCCAATCACGGCTGCGTCCTCCGCAGGCAGAGCTGGCCAGCCATCACATTAATCGCAGCAATGCAGATGCAATCAGATGCAATCGGGCCTGGCAGAGGCAGATGCTCGCCCGCATTGGACCTCAGGCGAGACAGCAGCGCTTGGCGGCTGGTGTCTTCGCCTGATTCGGCAAGTCGCCCTCTCCGCATGGAGGAGTCGAGTCCGCATGCAGCAGGCGAATGTTTTCCCATTTGGTTGGTGTCGAGTTCCTGTCTCGTCTGATCTCTTGCTGCTTGTCATTGCCTCGCTCTATTCATGCTGTCTCACCTGTCGAGGAGTATGTTATTCTATCAAACAAGCCTTTAACGGGATAACTAAAGAACACCTAGGCTTACTAATACCCATAAATGCTCCGGACCTTCGGCCCTCCGCAAGCCTGCAATATATGTAAGCCTATATGAAGCCTATAGGGGTCCTAACATAAGCCTATAGAAGTGCCAGCGTGAAGCCTATTAAGGGTTCCAATATGAAGCTTATAGGGGTGCCAGTGCCACAGCGTGAAGCCTGCAAGGGTGCCATAGGGGAGGGGGCTGCAGCAGGCCGCAGGAGCTGACGGATGCTTATGTAAAATGTACGCACTAAAGGGTTTTGGCCAATCACGTATCTGGAAATGCCTTAGTAAGCAACATTGTCGACAAAAGTGTTATTTCCTTTACAATATGGGGGATTGCTGCAGGCTGGCTTAGTCAGCTCTTACATCATCTCTATCACGTGACCGTCCTTGTCACTTCATCGAGACAATCAATTGTCGACTAAATCATTCTGAATTTTTTTTGATTATTTTAACCCGCCATTTCCTTCCTTTCGTGCCTTGTATTTACTGCTAACGTTTGCAGGTAGCCATCTCTATCCATGGATGGAGGCAGCACTTCCGAACGCGGTCCCTCCAGGCGCCAAAGAACCGTCTCGCTGATCGCCCGCGCCAGACCCACCGCTGCATCGGCGTCATCCTCATGTCAATCCCATTGATGGGCCAGATGAACTCCAGATCTCGACTCTTGATGAACTGATCAACCGCTGATGAAGAACGATCCATCTACTGGGGTCCTGCTGGATTGATAGGCCTAACAATTGCAAGCAATCGCTGTCTCCTGGCTCATTGCTCACTTTCTTTCCTAAAAAAAAAGAGCCAGAAGAGAAAGAACAGAACAATGACAGCATTCATCCCATCTTTCTCCTACCCTCTCATCACCAGTGGATACTGTCCAGGGTGATATCAGCGCAGAGTCAGACTCAGCGTAATTCTACAGAAGCAAACACCCATGCAAACTTCACGTCTGTCAGCATCGACCGTGTGATACGTTCAGGTTATATAATACACATTCGGAATATACTTCCACGCAGTGACTCGCCCAACACGCATCTCTCTGGGTCGGTCGGCATGCGTCCAACGATTATCAGTCGTTCTTCCCAGACGCGAAATTCCCTCGCCTGGCTGATGACCTCATTGGGACTCCTCGCATTCTGTTATATATCCAGCCACAGCTCAGATACGATGGATCTGGCATGATGTAGAGTTGCTCAGAAGGTACCCCCCAGCGTCCGTTATCTTTCTCTATATATCCTCTCATCCATCACCATGACCAAAACCACCTTTAATATCTTTCGTGGTTCCCAAACCAATGACATTGTCCCCGACACTACCACCCGCGACCTCGGACCGCACGATGTCTTCATCGAGATCACCCATGCCAGCCTGTGCGGCACCGACCGGCTCTTCCGCCACAACGGCATGGCGCTGGGCCACGAAGGTGCCGGTGTTGTCCGCCAGGTCGGCGAACAGGTCACCTCCCTCAAACCGGGAGATGCCGTCGGGTTGACATGGATCCAGAAAGTGTGTGGGATGTGTGATCAGTGCATGACTGGTGCGTGCCAGATATGGACACAGCTTCTACGGGTGGCTGATTGTCCGCTATAGATAAGGATCAATACTGCGACTTCAAAGAAGCCTACGGCACTCACGATCTCGATATCGGCACCTTCGCCAGCCACGTTGTCTGGCACGAGTCCATGGTCATCAAGCTGCCCCCGGGCCTGGAGCCCGAGTACGCCGCGCCGCTGATGTGCGGCGGTGCCACCGTCTGGGGGGCCATGACCTCGTACGACCTCAAGCCGGGCGATCGCGTGGGCATCGCGGGCGTCGGCGGCCTGGGCCACATGGCCATCCAATTTGCGTCGGCCCTGGGCTGCGATGTCGTGGTGCTGTCCAGCAACGAGTCCAAGAGAAATGAAGCCATGGCATTAGGGGCCAAGGAATTCTATGTCACCGACGACGCTCCTCGGGAGCAGATCAAGAGGCTGCATCATCTGTACTGGTGTGCTAACTCACATCCGGATTTCTCCAAGTATGTCTTAACAACAGGACACACACATACGCACTCCCTCTCTATATATATAATGTCTAAAAAAGCTCCAAGCGCCATGAATGTAAACTCACCGCAGACAGGGTCCTTCCCCTCATCGCTCCGGGAGGAAGCATCTACCCTCTCACCGTCAGCCTCCAGCCATCTACGGTCCCCATCCAACAACTCGTCTCCAATGGCATCAAGATCCAAGGATCCGCCGTGGCCAGCCGCCGGTCCATCCGTCGCCTGCTCGACTTTGTCGTCCTGCACGGCATCCGGCCGATCACGATGAGCTTCCCGCTGAACAAGGACGGCATCCAGCGGTCCTTTCAGGTGCTGGAGGAGGGCCGCATGCGCTACCGCGCCGTGCTGGTTGCGGAGCGATATCTGATGACGAAGCCCATCGCGGAGCGGCAACAAGCATGATGTTGCTGCTGCTGCTGCTTCTGCTGTGGAAAGTTCCTGTAGACCTGCCTCTTGACTGTCCTGTTAAACGGATAAATAAATAAATAATAAAAAAAGTTTCCCTGGAAATACAACCTGTCTTCCTCCGTTTGATCTGCTGCCGGTCAATCCTCCTCCTCGCCATCCTCTCTGTGACAGACCTCCACCTTGACCGGACTGTCCGGCCGCGTGATATTTTGCTGACTCTCAGTTTGATCCGAGCCTCTGCTGCGCTGAAACGTCTTTCCCCGAAACGGGTGCGATCGGGAAGATTTCATCCAGACGAGATTGTATCCTCCTTGTTTTCCGACTCCCTGCTGCTGCTGCTGCTGCTGCTGCTGACTGGCCGTAGATCTGCCCTGGCCGTACGAGAAGAGCAGCCGTGCCCGCGGAAACAGTCGCCGCAGAGGCTGTCGCAGATACGGGATGCAGGTGCAAATGAGGCCGACGCTGGCCTCGATCGAGCTCCAGGCCAGCGTCGAGAACGACCCCCAGGTGCGGTCCTTGGTCGTTGTGCTGTCTTCCAGTGCCACCATGCGGATGCCGCTCGCGACGCAGACGAACAGGCCCAGCCCGAACAGCACCATGACGCCTGCCTTCTTCAGCGGGCTCATCTGCAGCCGGTGGATGACTGGCAGCGGCATCAGACAGACCCAGACGTCCAGCAGGGTGTTGAACGCCGCCCAGCTCCAGCGCACGGCCTTGTTGTTGACGCAGGTGCCCCCCAGCGAGTGATCCCAGTACGCCTCCACGGGGATGCACTGGAAGACGGTGGAGATGACGAAGCTGCAGGTGCCGGCCGACACGACGGCGATGGTGGCGATGGTGACGATGCGGAATCTCGGCGTCGGGAACAGGCGCAAGTAGAGGGCGAGGAAGGCCAGTTTGTTCAGGAAGAGGGTGAATTTGTAGAAGATTTGGAACAGCCAGAAGTACTGCCAGAGAATCAGTCTGATGACATGTGACATGCTGAGGAGAGATTAACTGACCATTATGGCCAGTGTCAAGTCGCCGCCGCTGCGATTGACATCCGCTCGATGTCTTCCGAAGCCATATCGCACAGCTACACCGCGTCAGTGACCAGATTGGCGTCTAGCATGGGATATGTACTCACCTAAACAACCGATGACCGTCTCAATCGCATGGATCAACTACTCTTGTCAACTCGCTGCTGGAGGCTGAGCCCATTTGAGACGGCACTTACTGCCGAACACCCGGCCACCACATCCTCCGTGCCGATAGCATTTCGCGAAAATGTCGAAGAGAGTCGGAAGATCACGAGAGTGATTGCAAAGGTGGTCACCACCGAGCAACCGATGGTGAAGTAGGCGCCTTGATCGGGGACAGGATCAGTACTACTGTCACTCATGTTGACTCGACGATTCTCAATGCTTGTCGTAGCTCATATCGCCAGAATGGAAGTCTCGTTCAGCCATATGTGTCTGTGAATACAGACACAGAACAGAGAAGAAAAGGCAGTGGATACCTGGGTACCGGCAAGTTATACAAGCTAAGAAAGTGTCCTAAAGAGACGGCATCTGAAGGATTCTTGCCAATAGCAGCCTGCAGTAGGCATCGCCTGACGGCATACGCGCTAAAGAGAAAAGTCGAGATAGACAGACATGGCAAAGGCATGTAAATCCGGGATGACGTGCCGGGCATAACTCGGGGATCTGCACGTCAGTTTCGAGGTAATATCATCGATAAGGGAACGCTGTTTATTCGCAAATCCCTTGCTAGTTGCTACAAGCAGTATAAATCCTGGAAGGTACTTCCAGCGAATACAAGCAATCTCTCCCAATCGACTGTGAGGAACGTACATGAATCAAGCTGTCTATCGTCTCACCATGAAAGAATAACCTCCCTCGTCAAGGACGCATGCTGATCCAGGAATGTGTTGTTTCAAGTGACCTGGCCAGGCACTGCGATGGACGGGCCGCCCTGCCGACAACCTTGAAGTTTATTCCAGCCCCTTGCATGCAGCCCAGGATACTGGATGAGCGTAACGTATGACAGGTGTCACAAGAATGCCGGTGTCATTTCGGGCCCGATGTCCGAAGCATTCGGTGACTGACTTCTTTTCACGAGACTGCAATGCGAAGACCTCTTATCAGATTGATCCTGCACCACGCAATGGAATGATTGACAGGCTGGCCCTGGTTGTTCGAACTCGAGTGCAGCCAGCGATGCAACTGGTGCCGAATACTGAGGATCTTCGACGTTCAATCGTATATATAATCAATTGAATTTTTTACATATCTGCATCTATTGGATAATTTATTCTGATATACCTCTGGAATCACAGACCTAGTAACAAAAAAGGGCTGTGCAATTCTACTGTAAGCAACAATAGTCTCTGATACACTTTTCTTCGCTGAAATATCGACCGAAAAGACTATAAGGTCTACAGGTTTTTCCGGTTAATTCACCCAAATTTAGAGAATCACTATCATTCAATTTTATATATTTCTGAGCACATACTTAGTTACGGCTCAGTTGAGTAATGGACCCAAACACACGAATCTTTCTCCACATACGAAGATATGACAGATCTACTCAATAAACATGTCAACTTTGACAATTTTGACAGCAATGATTACTGATATATGACCGTTAACCTAAGGGCTATTCTGTGGGGGGAGTTTATTTAATCTTATTCTTGCTCCATCCAACCAAACCCGCTTTGGTAGGTCCTGCCGGAGAAGATCAGAAGGTTCGTTTTTTTTTAGAAAAAAAAAGAGAAAAAAGCAAGTCGTGTTAAATTAATAATTTCAGTCCTTGATCTAAATTCAATAATAATATTCAAGAAAAAATTAAAAAAAAGAGAGCTACTAAATTCTTTTTTTTTGAACGTGATCTAGAACTAATAATATGGTCGCCATCGCCATCGGCCAATTCCGAAGTTACATCTGCTAACAACTGACTAAATTCGACACGGCCCCTCGCGTGACGATTAACATTTATTTATGCTGCGCTCATTTGGAGCAAAAATGGCGTGCGCAGAAGAAATCCGTTGAAGGAGTTTATTTTATTTTATTCCTCTACCCCAGCCATGGCCACGTGGTTGTGAGTCCAGCTGCCTGGCAGGCTGGTGGTGGTGCCTAATTAACTGCCGTCACTCACGTCAGACGCAAAAATAAATCTCTCGAGACAAGCTACAATGGCTAATGAGAAAGGACCTGACACCACGGCAGCGCAGGACAAGTTCCCCCTCGCGCAGGGAGTCCCTCTCGACGTGCAGATCGTCGACGTCCAAGAGAAGCAGAATCTCTCTCGCGGACTCAAACAGCGCCATGTGCAGATGATCGCTATTGCCGGTGCCATTGTACGTACAGTACCTGTCCCTACGCGTAGTATCTATATCTGACTCACGTCCTAGGGCACCGGTCTGTTTCTCGGCCTGGGATCGTCCATCCAGACGGGCGGTCCCCTGGGTGCGCTGCTTGGCTACCTGCTCGTCGGCCTCGTGGTCTGTGCGGTGCAGTTCGCCCTGGGCGAGGTGTCTGCCCTCATGCCTGTTACTGGCTCCTTTGTGCGCCATGCCGAGGTGCTCGTCGACCCGGCGCTGGCGTTCGCCATCGGGTGGAACGTCGTGTACGGCGCGTTTATGAGCGTGCCCAGCGAGATCTCGGCCGCTGTCGTCCTGATCCAGTACTGGACCGACACCAGCGCCGCCATCTGGGTCACCGTGCTGATCGTGCTGTCCGTCCTGGTGGCCGTGCTGTTTGTGGGCGTCTACGGCGAGGTCGAGTTCCTTTTCGCTATCCTGAAGATCCTGCTGGTTGTGGGTGTCGTCATTATGGGCCTGGTGATCGATCTGGGTGGCGTCCCTGGTCAACCGCGTCTGGGATTTCACTACTGGAAACATCCTGGCCCCTTTGTCGAGTACATCGCTCAAGGCTCCTGGGGCCGGTTCCTGGGCTTCTGGGCCGTCATGAACAACGCCGTCTACTCGTTCTCCGGCGTCGAGAGTCTCTCCATGGCCGCAGCGGAAACACGAAACCCACGCCAGAACATCCCCAAGGCCTGCAAGAGGGTCTTTGCTCGGATCACCATCTTCTACCTCGCTGCGGTCTTGGTTGTGGGCATGCTGGTTCCAAGTGACGACCCCCGACTCTCGGACGATTCAGGGACGGCGGCGCAGAGCCCGTTCGTCATTGCAGCCAGTGCTGCTGGAATCAAGGCAGTGCCGTCGATAGTCAATGCAGTTGTCTTGACCTCCGCGTGGTCGGCATCGAACCAGAGCATCCTCGCCGGCACTCGAACGCTCTACGGGCTGGCTTTGAAGGGCTATGCTCCGAAATTCTTCCTGTGGACTACCCGTTGGGGCGTTCCCTACATGTGTGTACTCCTGCAGGTGGCATTCTCGCTGCTGGCCTACATGTGCGTCTCCAATGGCGCGCTGACAGTCTTCTACTGGCTGCTGGACCTCACCGCAGCGGGCGTGCTGATCTCCTGGATCACGATTGCCCTGAATCACATCCGGTTGATGCGCGCGCTGAAGGCTCAGGAGATCTCTCCGGATGAGTTGCCTTGGCACAATCGTGCGACAGGTAAGACTTCTCCGTCGTTTATGGGAGATTACCAACTGACCCGTCCAGTATTTTCGTCCTGGTTCGCTCTTGTCGCGTGTATTATCTTTCTCCTCACGGGCGGCTTTACGGTATTTACCAAGGGCAACTGGGACCCTGCCAGCTTCGTGTCGTCGTATTTGTACGTAGCGTCAACGATTCATCAGATTCGGACAGAGCTGACTTCTTTCAGAGACATTCCCCTGGTATTGGTAGTCTACGGCGGCTACAAGCTGATCCGAAGGACGAAGATTGTTCCGCTGAAGGAAGTGCCCCTACGGCAGGCCCTGGACGAAGCATACCAGGATCCGGACAATGTGCCGATCCAGACGAGCGGGTGGTCGCGGCTGAATATTTTATGGGGTTGAGTAATGAATAGTAGACATAATGGTAATATAGAATAGACTTGGATATCTTTACGAATGACATTTTTCCGATTCATGGATTCTAGATTCTAGAGAATATGCGCTAGAACATGTAATCATAGAATTGTTCTTCTGCTAAGACCAATTATCCTAGTGCTTTGTACTCGGTCATATCCATCTCACTGCATCCACAGCACATGGCGTGGGCACGTTATCTTGGCGACCGATCCAGATCGCAACCACGAGACGATACTCCACCGGAAGAAACAGCGAATATTCATCGATTCGACTGCCAAGTTATTTTCAAGCAGCCTGGCCCACTGGCAGTGGTGTTTCGTCCAATCACAGTCGATGTTGTCGTGCCTCCGATATCAATTGACTCTTCCCGCAGCAAAATTGCGTGATTGCAACTATCGCAGCTACACAATTGTTCTTTCACGTCGAGCTTGACAATGGCTTCAGAATATATATATCCTGGTTCTTCTTTCTCGCAGGCCATTTTCATGGCCATGATACGTCTCAATTCTTGGTTTATGGAATGGAATGTTATCTGAGATCAGTTGAAGTGTTCTGTTCGTGACAGCCTTCAAAATGACACAGGATAATCCGGACGCACGACCAGACAAAGCGCCTGCTGTTCAACAGACTGCAACTGCACCGACGAGAGATGAGGCCAACATCAAAGGCGACGGCGCCCTGCAGCTGCTCGCCGCCGCAGACACCCCCATTGGCGACCTCAACCTCGAGAAGAGCCGGCAGCTGCTGCGCAAGATCGACGTCTACATCATGCCGCTCATCTGCGTCGTCTACTTCCTGCAGTACCTCGACAAGATCGCTATCAGCTACGCCAGCGTCACCGGCCTGCCCCAGTCCGCCCACCTGCACGGCAACCAGTTCAACTGGGTCTCCAGCATCTTCTACTTCGGCCAGCTGGCCTTCGAGTTTCCGACCATCCGCCTGATGCAGGCCTTCCCACTGGCGCGCTATGTCGCCGTCAACGTCGTCATCTGGGGCGGGCTGCTGGCCTGCCTGGCCGCCTGCAAGTCGTTCGCCGCCCTGATGGTCTGCCGCACGCTGTTGGGCTGCGCTGAGGCCGCCGTCGTGCCGGCCTGGGTCGTGTTCACGTCGCAGTGGTACCGCAAGGAGGAGCAGGCCTTCCGGGTCGGCATATGGTTCTCTATGTGCGGCTTTGCCCAGATGTTTGGCGGCTACGTCGCGTACGGCGTGGCCATCCACGTGGGCAGCGACCCCCATGCGGCTCTGCGCGGATGGCAGGTCATCTTCCTCATCCTGGGGCTGCTGACCGTCGTTGTAGGCGTCGTCTTCTTCTTCATCCTGCCGGACTCGCCCCTGAATGCGGGCTTCTTGACTCCGACGGAGAAGGCGCTGCACGCGGAGCGACTCCGAGGGAACGAGCAGGGCATTGGAAGCAATGTCTTCAAGAAGGAGCAGTTCTACGAGGCTCTCCGNGACCCCAACACATGGCTGTATTCCTTCTGGGTGTTTGCCGCCAACATCCCCAACTCCATCGCCACTAGCATGGGCAACATCCTCGTCACCGGCCTGGGATACTCGCCTACCGAGAGCTTGCTGCTGGTGACCCCGTTGGGCGCGTACGAGGTCGTCGCCCTCGTGGGGCTGACCTATCTCAGCATGAAGACGAACCAGCGTCTGCTCTGGTGTATTCTCGGCCACATCCCGTCCATCGTGGGCGCCATCCTCATGGCCACCACCAGCAAGGCGCCCGCCCTGGTGGGATACTACCTGTCGGGAGGCATTCCCATCGGCTGGACGACGATCCTGGGTCTCACCAGCACCAATATCGCAGGCTCGACGAAGAAGATCACCGTGGCCTGCATCCAGACCATCGCTTACACCGTGGGCAACATCATCTCGCCGCAGACGTTCCAGGCTAAAGATGCACCGCGCTACCTGCCCGCCAAGATCGCGATCTGCATCCTGTACTTCCTCATCACGATCGATCTCTGCGTGATTCGATGGCTTGCCGTCCGGGAGAACAAGAGACGGGATCGGCGGAGGGAGGAGTTGGGCGACTCCTACGTGGTAGAGCAGAACCATGAGTTCCTAGATCTGACGGACCGCCAGAATAGCGAGTTTAGATACGCGTTGTGATCTGCGAATTCGCTTATTATAGAGTCAACTTGCTAGAATAGATGAAATGGCCATAAGAAGGATAGATATTTCAACCCTCTAGCAAGATCAGCTAACTGCCTAGCACATCCGTCTTGGGAACCGGATCAGGTGTCTCCTGGTCCCCCCATTCAATATTCTCGTAGCCATGCGCCCGCAAGTATTCCTTCCACTCGTCGTCTCCATTCTCGAGATTCCGCTCCGGGTCCGGGATGACGAACCACGCCACCAGCGCGCCCAAGACCGCAAAACCAGACCCGATGAGGAACACCGCCTGCGTGCCTCGAAAATCATCGTCTCCCCAATGCGCGAGGATCGGCTTAAAGACTTGCGTCCCGATCGCCGCGCCGGCCTTGCTCCAGGCAGCTGCGAAGCCGACGGCATGGCCGCGCACCGCCGTGGGGAAGCTCTCGCTGGCGGTCAGGACGATGGTCGAACCGGGGCCGACCTCGCCCAGGGTGAGGAAGATGCCGTACAGGACGATGAACAGCGGCAGGACGGTCTGGATCGGTCCCAGCGCGCCCCCGAGGATGAACCCCAGGAGGGCTTGCAGCAGGTACCCCAGCGCCATCGTGCGGCGACGGCCGATGCGGTCGGAGAGGTAGCCGCCGATGAACGGACCCGGTACGTAGAAGCAGTTGATGAGGGTGCCCCAGGCCATATTGAGCGTGAGCGATGAGCCTGCGTTGACGCGCGTGAGGATGGTGGACGAGAACAGGCCAAAGGGGTAGGAGATATAGTTGTAGATGAACCACGACGCGCAGACGCCCAGCAGCGGGCGCCAGTATCTCTTGACGGCCAGCCAGTAGGGGATCCTCTGTTTGCGCATCGAGCTCTTTCTATACGCCGAGCTGGTGGTCATCCGGTAGCGAAACCAGAAGATCGACAGCGGCGGAATGATCCCCAGGGCCAGCGAGACGCGCCAGACAGCCTCGTAGTGCCGAACTTGCTGATGGAAGCAGAGCAGCACGAGCAGGGGAACCAAGGAGCCGAATGCGAAGCCCAGATCGGCAGACAGGTCTCCGATCATGGCGAAGATGAAGCCTCGGTTCTTGCGCACGGCGGAGTTCTCGTCTGTTGCCTCGACGGCGCCGGCACCTGCGACGGGGTACTCTCTTGACAGATTGTCAGTCTGTTATATGGACAGCGACGAAGCGCTGTTACTCACCCTCCAGCTCCCACCCCAGCGATGCCTCGCGCAATGATCAACATCCAGAACATGCCCTCCGGGGTCACCCCGCTGGCTCCTGCGCTCAACGCGATGCCCAGCACGAGCAGGGCTGTAGTCAGAATGGCCCCGGTCTTGCGGCCCATCTTGTCGGCTATGTAGCCAAAGGACAGCATACCGATGATCATGCCGACCATGAACGCATTTGACAGGCGGGATGCCACGGCCGTGGTCAAGGAATGGGGATAGATGACCGCCATGATCAGCTCGAGGTTGCCGATGATGGACGCGTTGAATCCGTCGGATCCAATTGCCAGGCCGGAAAATATCACCATGAGCAGGACTGATACCTTGGAGTATCGTTTGTCGCTGATGCCCTCTGCTACGGCCTCATCTTTGGAGTTCGCCTGCGTGACGGAATCAGATTGGCCGTTCTTCTCGACTGGCTGATGTGAGAGCTCTGTGACCTCCATATCGATCTTGCGAACATGCCCCTGCGTTTTTACCTCTGTTCATTGTCGCATGAAAGTTTCTCATGCACGTCGATGTTGACATCGGGCAGCACACAAAGCCCTATAAAGGCGATCGATCGGCAATCGCCGCTTGATTCGGCACCCCATCATCCCCTCACTTCTCGGGCTAGTGACTTCGTTATCTTGATGCGAATAGGACGGTGACCAGCACTAAATACCCTGGACAGCTTGAGATAAACATAGATTGGCCAATTCTTATCGTGGACACGGGTATCAGCCTGGGATCGGCTCCTAATCCAATGACAACCAGCAACCGGAGTCTTGACCATCCCAAGTAGTTTTAGGCCTTTATGCTGGTTTTTCTTCCGCGTCCCGGCATGTACGAAGTTGCTTTCCATTGCGAAGGAGAGTTCTCTCTCGACTTTCTCCCATCTTCCACAGCGATAACGTACCATTTATATACGAAGCATCCACCCGGGGGAACGGCATTTCCTACTGCAGAGCTGCTGGTGCCGTTGTAGTAGACACTGCCTTCTGATTCTTTCGTATAGAAGAGACCCATAGAGTGTAGACTGGAATAAAATTCAGGAAGTTTGTTGACAAACATGGTCTGTTGGCATTCACTGTTAGTATTGTGGAGCCTCCAACACAAGTGACATGACTTGATACTGCTGGGGGAAGCATACCTCAATCATATCACCAACCTCTGCGCGAAGCAGCGGGCCTTGGTAACCCTGCCACGCAGGTTGTTCGGATTTCTTTGTGAAGGTGGCATCAGGTGTATCCCCGGTACAGCGCCTTATCGAATCGTGTTCCGAGGTTCGTGTCTGAAGGAATATATCCCCATGTTTGGGCCCGGAAAGACTCATTCAGAGGAACACCCAGCCAGTTAATCCCATCCTAAAAAATTCCGACCATGGTCAGCAAGTGGAGAAGAAACAATGAAGGTGGGATTTCTTTGCCCATACCTGATGGAACATAATCCCAGGTCACGAGCTCAGAAGCTATGTAGTATCGACGGACATTTTCAGAAAAATTGAAACCCTCCGGAACATAATATGGCAAGCGACCATCCATGTGCGCTTCACACTGGGACCAGTTGCTTGGGATTGAAGCTGCTGTGGCACCAGCAGCTGCCCCGAGAACGAGGAGGTAAGGGACAATGTAATTCATTGTCAGTTCACTTCAACACAATCCACTTCAACAATTGTCCTATAAAGGTCTCTTCGTCCACTGTGTCACTGGAGGAGACATGGTGAAAAGCCTCGAGCTTTATACGTACCAGTACTGACTCCATCTTGTTGTAATCCATCATCAACCTTTAAGACTATTGATGACCGAGTGAGACGATGGACCAACACGTGCTCGGAAAATCGGAAGAGAAAACATTTGTATGCGCTTCTACGCACTTCGCCTATTTTACAAGAACCAAGACCTGTTCTGCGGCTGACAAGTCTGCTTGGTTCGAAACTTATCGGAGTATTTTCGTAGCAGGCACATAGCAAGAATCATGACGCGTCATATGTACTTGATGAACATAAAGAGCATTTCATTTGCTCTGCGTTTAGCCTCATTTGGAAGGAGTTGACAGAAATTAGTAAGCTCAGCATTCGAATAGCTCAAAATAGGGAATTCAGGGTCTTTTCTCTTGATGTTTCCACGTCTTGGTTCAAGACTTGTTTGTAATCAATTAACAATTCTCACCAAGTTAATTATATGTAATTAATTTCTGTTTTTGGGAAATGCAGATCTTTACCTAGAACAGACCCAGAAAATAATTGTAGAAGTGCTGAGCTCAATCATATTTGTCTATCTACATGCAGAGTGGGCTCTGTGGAGAACTCTATTGAACGCTATTCTTCGAACCTGCACCTCTACGATGGTTGGCTGCTGTACTTGCTCCCAGACTGCCAAATCGATCTGGCGATGAACCAGAGCAAACTGATTATGGAGAATTTCTTTTTTTAAGAAGGAAGGAAGAATACCTAGATGATGAGCAATAAGCATATAAATCAACTGAAGTCAAAAATAATTTCCTGAAGTGGATCTCAGATTGTCTAACGCGAGCTTTCAAGTGTACACAACTAGCTTCAACATAGCATACCTAAGACAAGCTTTGCTCCACAAGTAGATCTGGCCTGCAGTTCGCGCTAACGATCTTCATACCTGACGAATCACTTCACAGCTATTTGTAATCGTTGCTTGATTCACTACTCCAAGGCAGGTCCAGAAAGGCGTGTCAGCAGAGCGTTGTCTTACCCAACCTGTTCTCTGCACTATGATGCAATACTACGTGTTCTGCATATACTAGAAAGGAGGACAGTAGGACAGGGG